AGCGCAGAGTTCTCAAGGGAAAACACTCGCAATGCTGACAATCGACTCCCTCGAGAGCCGACTGGGCATTGCTGCACTTCCCAACACACTTCTTATACTGCTCGCTCATATTGGTTTTTTTATATAAAATATATATAGTGAAAACTCCTGACAAAACAGACAAACACAATCGACAGATTCAGACACACACAGAGCTGCTGAAGTAACTAAAAGCTGGCGTATTGTGTACTCAGGGGATATTTATAGCTTCCTGGTCGATGACGTCACTCGCCGTACGCTCATTCTCTCCATTGACTGATTTCATTCATGCTTCAGACGCGTCACGCTGAGGGCGTTCCCACTGCGATTACACGCAGCGGTAGTCCCTGAAGGGGAACTCTGTATCTCAGCCTCCTCGTCGGGGACTGTGGTTTTTCCCTATCTCCACACTGAGGTGTCGAGATTGTGGAATAAACCGGTTTGTATTTTATGTGTTTAATCCCCAGATGTCTGACTATAGTAATGTTTGGGTATTAAGTATCATAGTATGACATTGCCTCGGGTTAAAGAGACGCTTGCGAGCTTTCTCTCTCCCGAGTCGGCGTTATCGTTATTAACCCCGACGTTACCCACCAGCCATCTTAATAATGAATACATTTTTATTAGGCAGCGCTGGTGGGTAGAGTATATAAGGACATGGATGAATGTGAGGGGCGACTCTCTGAGGAGGGTCGCAGCGCTGCCAGTTCGGTTGTTTCCTGCTGGTGGCCGCAGAGTGATATATATGTATATATATATAAGTTTTTTCTGATATAAAGATAAAGGAAAATAAAGATATAATTATGTCTGTTCTTCTGGACGCTCCGCTTTCAAGAAAACTAAGAAATAAACCATTCAGCGGCGTTCCAGAGGTTTCTTCCTCACCAATCTAATGTTCCTGAGACGGCTTGGGGTGCGACTCTCTGAGGAGGGTCGCAGTACTGCCAGTTCGGTTTCCCTGCCGGTTCGCCGTTTCAGGGCACCAAGGTGTCAGTGTCCCCAAACGAGCCTTCAAATAAGAAAAAAGAAGAGCAGTCAGTTTGGTTTCCCTGCCGGTTCGCCGTTTCAGGGCGCCGAAGTGCCTGCTTTTTTCAACGATCCTCCGAGGAGGGTCGTAGGAACTAAGCTAGTTAGAGGTAGGCAAGATCTGAGGACTGTCATCATCTCTAATAAAGCTTAGACAAGAAGTCCTGTCGCAAGAAAACGAGGCTATCAGGCTTCTGAGGGCTCCTCCGGGGCAGGGACGGTTTTGAGAAATCGTTTCTCCTCGGCGACCTCTGGGGTGCGACTCTCTGAGGAGGGTCGCAGCGCTGCCAGTTCGGTTGTTCCCTGCCGGTTCGCCGTTCAGGGCACCGAGGTGTCAGCGTCCTCATACGATCCTCCGAGGAGGATCGTAGAGCGGTCAGTTCGGTTGTTCCCTGCCGGTTCGCCGCTTCAGGGCACCGTAGTGACTGTTCAACCAAGGGACGGTTTTGAGAAATCGTTTTTCCTCTGGGGTGCAACTCTTTGAGGAGGGTTGCAGCGCTGCCAGTTCGGTTGTTCCCTGCCGGTTCGCCGTTCAGGGCACCGAGGTGTCAGCATCCCCATACGATCCTCCGAGGAGGGTCGTAGAATGGTCAGTTCGGTTGTTCCCTGCCGGTTCGCCGCTTCAGGGCGCCGTAGTGACTGTTCAAACAAATCCAGAGGCCAGTCTTGAGAGACTGGTTCCCCTAGTAAATTTCTGGCAGCGTGGAAACTACTGCCACATATTTCTCAGTGGGTCCTGCACACTATAGAAAAGGGTTTCAGCGGTTCTCGTTCGCCCAGATTTCTAGGGGTCCCTCCTCTCATTGGTGGACCCTGAGCAGGCTTTGGTTATGGAGCAGGAAGTACTGTCACTTCTGCAAAAGGAGCTGTAGAAGGGGTTCCTCCTCCCAGCAGACAGCCATTACTTCATTGTTTCCGAAAGAGGATGAGGGAGGTTCCCGAGGTTTGCTTTCGGGGGCGAAGCATACCATTATCGGGTTCTTCCATTCGGCCTAGGTTTATTACCCCACACCTTTACAGTATGCGTGGATGCAGCTCTGGCTCTTCTGAGACTCCAGGGCATTCGCGTATTATACTACATCAATGATTGGTTGCTCCTAGCTCAATCTGAGTTTATGGCAGTTCGGCATCGAGATGTCGTTCTGTCTCATTAAGGATGTTGGGGTTGCCTCTCAACGCCAAGAAGAGTGTGCTCTGAGGACCACTTTTCTGGGTGTAGCAATTCTTACAGCCGTAATGGGGTATATCTAGGCCAGTCACTCACTGTGAAACAGTTTCAGACGGGTGGGTCTCATGGCAGTTGCGTCCAACGTATTACTTTTGGCCTTCTGTTCATGAGACCCCTGCAGTGGTGGCTCAGGACCAAGGGGTTTTCTCCGAGGGGAAATACGTTTTCGCATGATCAAGGTCACGCGGCTATGCCTTCGTGCTTCGGTCATGTGGAAGAACCTTGGTTCCTCGCCCAGGCCCAGTGTTGGGGGCTTCTTGTCGACGCATATTGCTATCGACGGATGCTTCCCTCACAAGTGGGGGCGATCATGAGTGGTTGCTCGGCGAATGGCGGACAACACACTGATGGTCTCGTATATCAGAGCAGATATCCTGTTGAGGCAGGGGCTGAGGCCCAGGGGATTGGAGACTTCACCCCGAGGTGGTGGAGCTTCTTAGGGAGAACTTTGGTCTAACTAAAGTCAAGTCGACCTTTCACATCGTTTGTACAACGCATTGCTCTATATGGTTCCCCCTCACGCAGCCAGCTCTTCTCGGACTGGATGCGATGGTGCAGGTGTGGCCGAGGCTGCACCTGTACGCATTTCCCCCGATATCTATGCTCCCGGAGGTTCTGGAGAGGGTTCGCCGGGAAGGGGCTCATCTGCTACTAGTAGCCCCATACTGGCCGACTCGAGTTTGGTTCTCGGACTTTGTCTCTTCTGGACGGCTCTCCCATGGTGATTCCGTTCAGGAGGGACCTGCTGTCCCAGGCAGGGGGCACGATATTTCACCCTCGACCGGAGTTGTGGAAACTGTGGGCCTGGCCTCTGAGGGGGCCAGGCTCATAGAATCCAGTCTCTCGACTGAGGTCGTTGAGACATTCTCCATTCCAGAGCTCCTTCCACAAGAAGACTGTATGCACTGAAATGGAAATTATTCTCCACCTGGTGTGGTGGGCGTCAGTTAGATCCTGTTAACTGCCCTGTTGGTTCAGTTCTCGATTTTCTGCAAGACCGTTTCTCTGCTGGATTATCTCCTTCCACCTTAAAAGTTTATGTGGCGGCTATTTCGGCCTATCATACCCCTCTGGGGGGTACTTCTTTTGGGAGAGATCCTCTGATTACTCGTTTTCTCCGTGGTACATTGAGGTTGAGACCTGCACTGCACTCTAGAGCACCGGCTTGGGATTTAGCCATTGTACTTGAGGGTCTGGCTCTGGCTCCCTTCGAGCCTATTGAAGAGGTTTCAGAAAAATTCCTCACTTTGAAAGCTTTATTTCTCCTTGCTATTTCATCTATCAAGAGAATTGGAGATTTGCATGCCCTGTCGGTTGCTCCGTCATGTCTGGAATTTGCACCTGGTATGGTGAAAGCATTTCTATACCTTAGACCGGGTTATATTCCTAAGGTCCCAGTTAATGTTGGGGGCCCAATAGTGTTGCAGGCCTTTTATCCTCCACCTTTTAATACCCCAGATCAGGAACAACTGAACCTGTTATGTCCAGTTCGGGCATTGGATGCCTACGTTCACAGAGCTGCCCTGTGGCGTAAGTCAGAGCAGTTAGTTGTATGTTTTGGGTCACTCAGAAGAGGGTGCCCTGCATCTAAACAGGTTATGAGCAAATGGATAGTTGAGGCTATATCATTGGCTTATGAAGCGGCCGGTCAGCCTTCACCTATGGCTGTACGGGCCCATTCTACAAGGAGTATGGCGGCCTCTACGGCCTTAATTTCGGGTGTTTCCCTTCTTGACATTTGTAATGCGGCAGGTTGGTCCTCTCCACATACATTTGTCAGGTTTTATGACCTTGACCTCTCCACTCCTGGGGCGAGGTTGCTTGCTTCTTAGTGTGCGCAAGGACTTCACACAGAACGGGCATTTGTCACTATGGCGTAGTGGGTATGGGGTTCCCACCGCGTCTCAAACGCAGCTCGAAGTTCCCTTGAAAGGGAACGTCTCAGGTTACGTATGTAACCCTGGTTCCCTGAGAGGGAACGAGACGCTGCGTTTGCCTGCCATACTTCCTGCATGCCCTGATCGACTTGCTTCAGACTTTTTCAGAAGCTGTCGCGGTCTGTTTTCAAGGGTGCTTTATAGTTTCCTGGTCTATGACGTCACCCATGACGTATCGGGCTTCCATTGGACTGATTTTACACGTGCTTCATGACGCAATCACGCAGAGCGTTCCCACCGCGTCTCAAACGCAGCGTCTCGTTCCCTCTCAGGGAACCAGGGTTACATACGTAACCTGAGACGATTTCAAACCGTGTTTTTGAGACTGTCTTTGGTTCACTGCAGTTTTAAGCAGAAAATACTCAGCAATGCTGTCGACTTATGAACTTACACATGGTGTGTCTTAAAGCACATTAAAAACACCACATAGACACATAAACAACATTAAACGCTGGATCTTCACCACAGGGGGACTTTAATGTGGAGATAGACCTTGCTCCCGGTTGCTTTGTGCTTGATTTGGCTTTTGTTTGTTTGTTAGTTTAACTTGCTTTTGTTATTTATTTAAGTATTTAGTTTTCTATGTATGATACACTAACATTACAGATGACCATGTTGTTTTCTTGTTTTATATATTCTATTTATGTTAATAAATGTTGTTGTGACCGTACTGACTTCACTATGTCCTCTTTTCATTTGTCAGGGCTTTGAGCCGGTAATGGCAAATATGGGGGCTCGTCCGGGATCTGAATCGCACCCCTAGACCTTTATGTGTCTGTTCTCATACTTACAGTAGCCAGTCTGAGATATAATGAAGCTGTGCTCCTCGATGTTGTGAACGCTGGCTAAGTCTGCGCCGTCCTTGTGACAGGCCGCTAGCGCGTCGCTCCAGGTCTTCTTGCTGCGCTGCAGACGATAGCAGTGGCCGGCGTACGGCACCCACGCCACAGAGGGACAGAAGTTAGGCTGGTCTTTGCCTAATACAGCAAAAAAACTTTTCTCTTAGTGTAAATGATAAAACATGTTAGGAAGCTTATGAAACTTTCAGACAAAGGCTTTGTCAAGCCACTATAAAAAAAATCTCAACGAACTTTACGTTTGTATTGTGTTTTATTTTATTTTATTTTATTGGTTTGTGTGTGTGTGTGTGTGTTTCTGCTGCTGTAATGCCATAATTTCCATTTGGGGATTAATAAATAATGGTATGGTATGGTTTCGTATTGTATCGTATGGTATCGTATTGTAATCGTATCGTATCGTAAACGTATCGTAAATGTATCATATCGTAATTGTATAGTATGGTAACGTGTCTTACAGTATCGTATCGTATCGTATCAAATTGTATCATATCGCATCGAATCGTACCGTATTGTACCGTATGATATGGTATCGTATTGTATGGTATGGTATCGTATTGGTTCGTATCATTTCGTATTATTTCGTATCGTAATCGAAATCGAAAGGTATGTTATGGTAACCGAACCGAATTGAATCGTATCGCATCGTGTCATATCGTATTGTATCGTATCGTGTCATATCGTATTGTATCGTATTGTATTGTATCGTATCGTGTCACATCGTATCGTATTGTATCGTATCGTACCGTACCGTACAGTATGATATGGTATCGTATGGTATCGTATAGTGCCGTATCGTGTTGTATGGTATGGTATCGTATGTTATGGTATAGTATAGTATCGTGTCGTGTCGTGTCGTATCGTACCTGGTGGAGGTGTGTGGTCTGTGGAATTGCCCTTGCTGCAGATGTAGCCCAGTTTCTTACTGCAGGCCATGCTCTCCCACTTTGATGCTTTCCCAGCGTTTAATGCGGCACAGTTCAGGCCCGGTTCCAGAGACGGGTGCCCTGAAGATTACACAACACACATCTGATCAAATCCACAACTCAAACTGGACTTGCTTTATATGGGTGCATGAGTTCTGTGCGCAGGGGACTTTATTCACCAGGAGCCCAGTTCAGATATCTGAATGGCTGTCCATTACTCCACTGCCAGCCACTGTTAAAGTCAAGACTGTTCAGTCCAATCCACAGTGTGGAGCCAATGACATTCGTCAGACCTAAAGGAGAAAGCATACAGTATATTGAAATGCTAATTTATGCATCATATCATTTCATAATCATCAAGTTCTGGCAGGTCAAGCTCGCATCAGTGACGCCTATATATAAGCTCCTTCAGTATTATCAGCAGCGATCGCATCTCTCTGGAGCGATTCCCCTCCTCCCTCCCCAGCTCCCCCTGTCTCAGTCAGGATCCGGCATTCTCATTCCCCCTGAATCAGACTAAAATTCTCTAATTATGTTGTAGATTAAAATTAATTAATGATATCTGCAATGCATTCATGTTGGTTCTGTTCTGTTTACCCTGAGGAGGTTTATTGCTGCTCCTACCATGCGAGTTCTTGCCCAGGGCTGCATTTCCCAAAAGCATCGTAAGCCTAAGTTGATCGTAAAAACGATCGTACGACTGATCTTAATATTATGGTCTGTTTCCCAAAAGCATCGTAACTTTAAGTAGCACTTGAAAATCTTCGTAGAACTACGAGTGCTCTGGTGTAATCGTAAATCCCCAAGTGCATCGTAAGAAGACAGAGTTATGAGGTTCAGGACAACCGGCAGATTACACTTTTATCTAGATTTAACAGATTACACTGCAACGTAAGTATAAAATATACTTTACTTTATTGTACACTTTGTTGTACTCGTGTTTTGTTTAAATGAATAAATGAAATAATTAAAAGGGAAGAAAAATAGAAATACACATCTAAATTAAACGAATTAACATAAAAAAAATCATAAAATCATAAAATAAGTAATCTGGGAAATATGCTTTAAAGACCGGGCAAAATAGGGATGAATTAAAAAAAATCTGTCAATGACTTGATGACGTGTACGAAAACCAGCCATGTATTGGGCATTTCTTGCGACCTCCTTCCCTGATCTTTGGTTGCAGTTAGTTTGCAATGTGACAATGTCCTTCCAGATGTTTTGTTTTTCCTTATTTGTATGGTGTTCTTTAAATCTGTTAAAAATAAAATCTTTGTTTCCCCCTATCTCCTCTAAAAGGACATTCATTTTATCTTTTTGAAAGGTATCTTCTCTTGTTTTTTTTTGTTTTTGTTCAGCCATTTTGTCAGCCTGTATAGGTGCTTTATATCCATATAGACTTGTCTTGATTTCTTATCCAGAACAAATGACGATTATTAGGTTAAACGTTCAGAATACGATTCCATATAAGGTTATATTTCAGCACTTGGCGAATAGACAGCGATGCTTAAGTAGCACGTAGAAGGCGTTCTCGCGCGTTCATGTTAAGTGCATTTTTGGGAAACGCGCGTGGAATTGCGGCGAGCGTTCGTAACCTTGCACGTAGAGAGTGCTCTTAAGAGCTAAGATACATCGTTATCGGGAAACCTGGCCCAGAACCGAACCAGTGTCAATCCAAACTGTGTGCTGCTAACTGTCAACCGTATTTAACGATAGTGGTCCTGACAGAAATTTGAGGATGGCCGTGAGATCTGTGTGTGTGTGTGTGTGTGTGTGCATCAGAGATGGGGACTCGAGTTTGAGACTCGGACTCGAGTGCGACTTAAGTCCCACACACAGTGACTTCAGACTCGACTTGAGACTCGTCCTCGAAAGACTTCAGACTCAACTCGGACTCGAGCTGCGGGACTCGTGAACAATGTTTATTTTTAGGAAACGTCTGATTAGCTCGCTGTTACCCCCCTCCCTCCGTTACCTATAACCTGCCTACGTAACCACGTACTACGTGGCCTATTGCTGGCAGCGCGCGCGCGACCACACATGAGAGGATAACAAACAAAAAAGTTCGACAGCACCGGCCGCTGCTGTGCCATTCATCGTTAGCTTTGGGTTCAAAAACTTCAAACAAGACGCTCTAAAAAGAAGCGCTCAATGCAAAATATGCAGTATCACGATAAAAGATTCTGGCTCAACTACATCTAATTTTATCAGGCGTCTGAAAACGCACCCTGATAGGTGAGTAAACATGTTTAGCTCAGCATTGACCATCTACCGTTAGCTTGCTTATAGAGGGGTTTCACGACGCGTCATCAATCCGGAAGTCGGCCATTTTGGAGGCACAGAACGTGAATAATGCCACTGAACTGAATGGACTCGCAAATTTGGCTGATTATTGCTGCTGAAAAATGGTCGAGTTTTTGTCTGTACCAATCGGTCACATCGGGAAAAAACATGTCGAGTGCTATAGACTGTCAAAAGTTAAAGAGAAGAGTGCAAAAAACTGATGAAAGAAGGCGTTTGTGGTTGAGAGAGGTACAGCATCAGACACATGTAAATGAAGCGTTGACTATGGCTAAAATGTCGACGCAGTTAATGTTAACTATGGCTACATTCACACTGTCAGTCCAAATCCGATTATCTTTGTATCAAATTGGAATCTGATCTAAAATGATGTCCACACTGTGTATCGCAACTCTTCAGATCCGATGTGTGTGTCCATGCATGTTATTTGGTAATATGGCAATGACTTTGCGTTGATGGAGGGGTTGCATTTGCAATATAATGTTAGATGTTGTCTTTTTTAAATGTTACAACATGGAAATGTGTATAGCCGACGCGCTGGACTACTACGGCAGAACTGTAGGAGGCTGGCATATAACGTTAGCTACTGCTTTTTTCCCACGCTCGTCTGCGCCGGTTTCAGAAATAATATTTTTCTGCTCGTCCGGCACTTTGCAACAACACAGCATTGTTTCGGCAGTGACTTTCAGCATGTTTCCTATAAATTACGTTTGCATTTTAAGACATACCACGCGAAATCCGAGCGTTCAGACTGAGGCTGATGTCCTGATATGTGATTTGAATAGGATTTCAAACCACATATGGATGTAACTTGAAACGAATTTCATGTGCTTTTTTGGACTGACAATCTGAACGTATCTTATTTCGGGATAATAAATAGATGGAAGAATTGCAGTAATGTTACGTGCTAGAGAAGCTAACTCGTTCGGATCTTTAGCAGCTACCACATAATGTGACCACATAAAACATATTAACTTTAGTTTGTCAAAATGTTTCGCTCTGTCCTGCTTCCCAAGTCCTTCTCTATATGATTTCGCACCTACCACGTGTTTTTTCCGTGGTTTATTAGTGTAACAATGTGTTCAGTAGTACATGAACAGTGCAATCCATGCTGTTGTTTACATCCGAGTGCCTCCATAATGGCCGCGCATCCGGGTTACCGCCCAGAACGTGACGTTGGTGAAACCCCTCTATTGCTTTAGCTACCTAACGTTACGGAAGGTTAACTCCGATTGTCTTCCTTATGAAATATGAATGAGCGTTTGTTTAATTGCCAAACTTGTGGTGGTCGATTAAGTTAACGTAATGTTAATCATTTACGTGCCGCTGGCTGCCCGTTGTCTACAAACAGGTTACAGGATTATTGTTGTTTATGTAACGTGACAGTTTCATTTAGTTATAACGTTACACTGGTTTGAGAGTCTGGGATGTGTTGACTTACAGTATATAAGCTATGATTAGTTGCATAGGCAGTGCAGCCAGAAGAAGCCAGAAATGTTTTGTGGCCCATACCTAGTGTGTTAAGAGAAGAGAAGGTTAACCAGTCTGATCTCACCCTTTGGATTTTTTTTATTTCTAAACATTTTGTTCTTAACAAGTTACATGCCATAAGTTGGTCAGTTGCTTCACATTTACACTAAAGATTTTGAGCATTTGAATGTTTTGGAAGTGCACTGTAGTGTTAATTTCATTTGGACGCAATAGTTTATTTGCATTTAGCTACACTGATGTTTTGCACTAAATAGGAGTGTGTCAATTTTAGTGTTGTGAGTTATATCATTTTCTATATTTGGTCTTATGTCTTGGTATGTTCAAGCTACAAGGCAAAATAAAGAAATTAACTAAAAGTAAAGCATTCTTGGTGTTTTTGTCATGTTGCAATAGCCTGTTTACACTGATTATATACCAAAATCAAAGCTGATACTGTATACTAATAGATAAAGGAGTCATAATAACATATGGTACCACTTTATTTTGATAGTCCACTTTATACATTCGACTAACTATAAGTAACTTTGCAGCTGCATGTCAACTAACTCTCATTAGAGTATTAGTAGGCTTAATATCTGCTAATTATGTATTATAATATCTTATTTTGTTGGTTCCCCAACAGATATTCTACTGACTATAAGTAACTTGGCAACTACAAGTCAACTTGTTCTCCAAACCCACATCATAACCTGACAGTCTACTACAGTCTACGAATACTCTAATGAGAGTTAGTTGACATGTAGTTGAAAATGTACATGGTTAGTAGAATGTCTAAAGTGGACTATCGAAATAAAGTGTAACCTAACATATTACAAGCTTTGAATTCCTTATATAAAGTTATGCAGTGTTCTAAGCAACCTGGATGGGTCGCTGTACGTGATGCAACGCTTATAACCACAAGAGACTTGAGACTTGACTTGGACTCTAGCTCAGAGACTTGAGACTTGACTTGGACTCTAGCTCAGAGACTTGTGAGCATCTCTGGTGTGCATGTGTGTGTGTGTGTGTGTGCACCTGATATGTAGCTCTGCTCGTGCAGTTCTGCTATGCTCAGGAGATCGGCCCCTTGCTGCTGACAGCTCGCTCTCGCCTGATACCAGGTCAGAACCGACTGTGTGTTCCTCTGATACAACACACCCGTCACCGGGTCACTGTCCCACCCGGAGCCGGCTATAAGAAGAGAGAGGAGAAGAGAGAGGAGAAGACAGAGCTAAAACTTACAGTAGACAATCACAATATCCTTGGGGTGACAATTGATGGGTAGGTTTAGGGGTCGGGTAAGTGTGTGTGTGTGTGTGCGTGTGTGTGTGTGTGTGTGTGTGCGTGTGTGTGTGTGTGTGTGTGTGTGTGTGTGTGTGTGTGTGTGTGTGTGTGTGTGTTATAGGATGTGTTTGTCAGCAGATTAGTTTCCAGTTATCCTGCTTGCATTTTCAAAGGAAAACAGGAAAATGAAGGAATGTCACAGTGTAGATCAGCAACAGCAGCGTTTCTCTCGTCTTCTCTTCCTTCCTCTCTCACCCTTTTTCAAGTCCATAGTGGGAGGTAATAAACTCACTACTGCAGGAATAGCTGTTTTATTCTCAAATACATAAATAAGGCTGGGCGATATATCAATATTCTTGCATTTGCTCTAAAACTTTTGCACCACATGATAAATGCATGATCTGAATAGAACCGCTACTGTTCCAAAGTACACAATTTACTGCAAAATCAACTTATTTAGACTTTAATGACAACTTGCTACAGTCTTTATAAGCGTAACTTTTAATATAATCACAATATTTACGATATTCCCTAATTTTATACTGTAAGCAAATATATTGCTTTAATATTGCACATATTCAACGTATTGCCCAGTCCTAGTTATGATTATTCATGGGATGATGATACATTTTCATAAGGATTTTTCATGTTCATGCATGCATTACAATGTCTTAAAACACCCTTAAAATGTATTATAAAAACATAATTCATACAAATGCCATGCAGTCCAACAGAACAACAGTAGCAGTGATGTCTCTGAGCTGCGGCTTACATGTGGTTGGACACAAGCCCCACTTCTTGTCGGTGTCGTAGTCGGCCTCGGTGGAGCACCACAGCTGGCCGTCCGACCGGCCCTCCACTGTACACTCCGCGTGCCACTTCTCTTCATATTTAAACGGGAACTGGCACGGTTTCCCAAACGAATTACCAGCTAGTGTATATGTCTCTGCAGAACATAAAGAAATGAAGAAAATGGCTTAAGTGTTTAATCAAACTAAAATTACTAAAAAGAAATGTTTCACCTATCACTTCATACAGAGTCGTTCATAATATAAATATTGGTAACACTTTACAATAAGGTTCATTAGTTAACATGAGCTAAGAATGAACAATACTTCTACAGCATTTATTAATCTTAGTTAATATAAATTTCAGCATTTACTAATACGTTATTAAAATCAAAGGTTGTATTTGTTAACATTAGTCACTGTGAACTAACATGAACAGCTGTATTTTTATTAACTAATATTAACAAAGATTTATAAATACTGTAATAAATGCATCGCTCATTGTTAGTTCATGTTACATTAACTAATGTTAACTAATGAACCTTTTTGTAAAGTGTTATCGAAATATTAGTTGTGAATTTAACAGTATTTCTTTTTTTTTAAGGTCTTAATGGCTGTTCGGTGGACTTCTGCTCATACCTTTATATCCACGAGAGCACAGATCTTCCTTGGTCCCATAAACCTGCCAGTGACTCCAAGCGCCTGTTCCCTTATACAACATCATACTTTTCTCATTTCGATTGCCATAGTTGAGGTGCAGCGGCTGCCCCTTCAGGCCAAACAAGGTCTCGTTCTTACATTCCCACACTTGCAGGGGACTGAGTTCTTTGCAGGGCAGAAGCAGAATCTTGACCCAGTCTTTGATGTCCTGGGTCCCCAAGCAGAGTTTGAAAGAGAGGCTGATAATTCGAGAAGAGGAAATCCATCGGAAACGCTGAGCGTCGGAAGACACGTCGCACTCGGCCACCTGTACAGCAGTGGAGCTCACTGCAGTCACGCATCTGTTGTGGTCCGCGTTGTAGATCAGGAACGAGCTGGTATCTGAATGCAGGGAAAGTTAGATCAGGGAAAGACTGTTGAATACAAACTTCAGATCAGGAAAACTTATTTGGTGCTACTTCATTCATTAAGTCATTTATCTAAACCTGGGGATTCAAATCCTGCTCCTCAAGATCCTCCTAACCAGACCACTTGTGTTGAAGCGATAACCATAATAATGTATGTTGTTAAATCAGTCAAATCAGAGGCAATATACAATAAAAGTTATTTTTCCATGTTCCAGTTTTTGTCCTAGTAAGTCATGATATGCAACGAGCGACTGGATTCTATTTTAGGGACCATTACGTTTCCATTACAGATTTGCGCAAAACTTTTTCAATTAACCAATGTTATGCGACTAAATCGTAGTTTTTCCACTCGCGACAAGTCATTAAAAAAATCATGGCAATGAATGTTAGGAGGTTTAAGTATATCATAGCCACTAGCCAGTATTTTAAATCGAAGACGTAGGCGCGTTATCCAAGACACAGGTGAACAAAATAAGGGAATAGCAAAGGAACAAGAAACAACCTTAAATAGTCGTTGCAGTTGAGTCCACTATTACAGCAAGGAATGAATGAAATAATGTGAGCGAATTCAGATGCTGACATACACCATACATCGAAGAGCTGAAACGTCACAGAAACTGCTTTGTCATGCCAGCTTTGTGGTATTATTGATGCCGTTGTTATCATAAATATTCATTTACTTTGAATGTGTGGATAACACTCTCCAAATCACTAAAAATAAAAAAAATATTGCGCTTACTTGGGGCTAAAAAAGGGGCTAAAAAATGTTTACTTTAATTCAGGATCAATTAATCAGGATCAAAGATAACCCCAAGTTTTTGACATGGGTACAAATGTTTGCTTGAAGAAGACCAAAATAAGAGCTGATATTGTCTAATAATTGTGTGGGGCCCAAAAGAATAATAATTTCTCATTCAGCTGGAGAAAATTGTCATCCATCCAATCTTTAATGTCCTTTAAACATGTTACTAAGGAGGACACATAATTCATACCAGATAACAGAAGATAAAGCTGGGAATCATCTGCATAAATAAGATAAGAGACCTCATGATTCTCCAACATGGAACGGGAGCATGTATAGGGAGAATAAGACCGGGCCCAGAACAGAGCCCTGAGGCACCTCACAGGTGATGGCCACTGAGGTGGACGGAGATTCAACAAATTACACCAAAAAATACATGAATTAGTGAAATAAGATGAAAACCAGTATAGTGTAGGATCACAGAACACCTCATGACGTAATCTATTTAGGATCCAGGGCATCGAAGGCTGCACTTAAATCCAGCAATACAAGGATGGCACAGTTATCAGAGTCCACAGATAGGATGTTTACTATTCTTAAAACGACTCGTTCAAACTAGCTCTCTTCTACTCTCTATTCTCTCTTTGCATTAGATTTTGATACTTTTGATACAAAATAAATACTGAAAATCAAAGTGCACTGTGGGTAATAAGGAGAGGATGAATTTAAGAAATCAAGTTAACTCGGAAATCGGACACCATTGTATAATCCTGCAGTTTCAGGACCACATTTCTGGGACTTGAGCACCTAGCGGATTGCTCTTCATCAGAGGAGACCTTATTCAAACATGAATCAAACCGGTGCAAAGATTAGACCCACGGAAACGATTCAGTTGTCTTTATATCTCTCTTTCCTTGAAAACTGAATTTAACACAAGAATACAGAGTTTCATATGATTCGGGTTCAAGGACGTACACTGTGTCTACATCAGGGCCGAGACAGCTTGAGACAGTCCTGAATCTGCAGAGAGTCCGTATATACGCACAAAATGGCCGACACCTGATATGAAATATTTAACGGAAAAAAAATCTGTGATCAAAAAGTCACTCGAACTCGAATCATATGAACTCGAAATTTCTCAAATTCATCCAACACCATTAAAATTACTTGCTATCCTCATGCATGTCCACAGCTGTCAAATTTATTTTACATTTTTATATTCTAGGGAATTTTTGCATAAACATCAACGATAAAGTTCACATACATAATGAGATTAAGCAAATGCAAACTCTGTTAAGTCTCTTGAGCCATGAAAGGGTAGCATCTTTAAACAATGCTGTAATGTATGCTCACAGTACATACTTGAATACATCCGAAACGTATTATATCGTTTTACCATCAATAGAGAGTAAGGTAATTCTACATTAGAGAAAATAATGACTAACATATTTGGTTGTGAATAGCATGTGAAGTTGACAACAAAATAATTAGTATAACAATGTAATTTCATTCTAAGGAAATATTATTTATTAGTCCAATTCACTGTGACATTCCCATTAATAAACATTAAATCAGTGACGTACCTGTTTGAGTTGAAGGTTGTAAAGCAACTAATAAAGAGAGCAACACAAACAGTGGAATGGCACATTTCTTCATGTTTGTCCTTTAACAAGTAATCCAAGCATGGAAAACCCAGTGCGTGTTTGAAGTGTGTGAGACTTATATACACCTTTCTCAGAGTTAAATGATTGTATCCTGTCATGCGGTCGGAGGGGGGTTTGGGGTGTGTAGGTTTGGGTGTCTGGGGGGATGAAGGGGATGAGCAACTATCTGACCTTTATCCTGCGCTTTTCAGCTGTAACTGCAACTGTACCTGTACAATGAGAAAGACCTTGACTTGATTGACGTTAATATGTGTATGTGTCAAGAAGCATGAGTGGACAAAGAGTTCCTCAGAGTGCTAGAGTAAGGAGGTGAACTGTGTTTAGTTTCTTCATGGACAGGGAGAAGTGTCATTCTCTGGAAGTCTTGTGGAAGTGGTCGCACACTCATTCGGTTCTCTGATGAGCTGCTTTGTTTTTACCCTGAATTTCATGGGGTGGCCTGGACAAACCTGACATGTGCACAAGTAATGATGCCAAGCATTGTTACACAAAGTGTTTGGCTGATTTGTGAGCCATGCCTGCCATTCCAGTCAGCTTAAAGAATTGTGCAATTAATTGTTGAAGTGCAAAGGTTGGCTATTTGTTTTTCTCTGAAATGTGAAAAAATGCTGATTTGGTCGGATGGAAAACACAATGGCAATACTGGAGAAAATGAAGCTCAGCAAGAAGGAAATGAGAGTTACGAGCTTCAGAGGTCTGAAATTTGGGCATTGGGAAATCCTGTTTCCTGCCGAGTGTGTAAAGAACCGAGTCCAATGAAGATCAGTCCCTGGAATGGCACAAAACATCAGAAAGAAGGAAATAAAAGACAAGGGGAAAAAATACAACTAATATGACATGTGAGAGTGGCACATTCTCACTGTTTTTCTTAAACTATGGACACTTTTGGAGGATTAAAAAAAAAGAAAATGTAAAAAAAATCTTAATGCACAAGCTCTCATTAGCTTATTTAATTTACCCAACAGTGTTCAACAGTGTATATGCTTATACCATGGGAGAATTCAGTAAATTGGAATAAAATGGATGACTGCTTTGTCTTACTAAGGGCACATTTCACAGTTTATCCTGCATGCACACAAACAAAAAATGTTTTGTTCACAACATTTTGTCACAATTCTGTTCATTTATTTTCGTTTTCATGGACTTTTAGTTTGTACTCATCCATTGCTTTTTTCCTGTGTTTCCTTTGTTCTAGTTTCCCGCCACTCATCAGTTTTCATGGACACTCATTAATCATCACAGCTGTTATTCATTACTTACTCATCACCATGTTTATCCAGTTCCTATTGTCCTTTTTGAGTTGGACTACATGAATTTACTTTGTTTAATGAACAATGCATTTGCTTTGATCTACAACACCTATCTTCTTCTTCATCATCGGACTAAACGTGACAGAATACCGGACCTTAAAAAGAAGATGGATATTGCATCCATTAATGTTGCCCCTTTGAGAGGCACCGGTATGATGGAAGGAAGGACTGTTTTTATCTTCCAGGGAGGCAGATGTCTAGAGGACTACATGGAGGCGCTTATCCACATCAGCCACCGAGCCTGCGAGGACCTCTTCCTCATGGAGGGATTTGGGTGCGGGTTGGACGACGAGATCCACTTCGTCATGCCCCAAGGAGACCCCAGTTGGACTCTTGGGGAGTATATCAACTTTGAGCTGTGGGTGAACGAATCCTCATTCACAGTAGATGAAGGAGTGATCGAGCCTGACATCACATCAGAGCCTCAGGACCCGTCTGACCAGGTGTGTGAGCCGACTGACTCATCCATCCCTGTGGGAGTCCTTGTGAAGTACGAGGGAATGGAAGCGAGACCGGTCCACCCTCCTGCTACTGAGACTAAGTACCGGCTCGATTTAACGGTTTGTGAGTATGGAGAAACAAATACCCAGTATCCTTTGATCCCACCCTCCCTCTCCCACCACCTCTCCAATCTACCTTTGACTTATTTTGTTTCTTCAGTCTCTGTGTTGTTCTCCAGTCTCCACTTCAGCCCTCAGCCACTCCTGGCACCCAGTCATCGCTACCTCCCATCAGTCCCTCAGTTCCACCTCAGCCTCCTCTCAGGGGCACGGCTACACCTCGGACCTGGTGGGAGCCATCGCCTCCACTCCACTCCACTCCACTCAACTCAACTCAACTCAACTCAACTCAACTCAACTCAGCTCAACTCAACTCAGCTCAGCTCAGCTCAACTCAACTCAACTCAACTCAACTCAACTCAACTTTATTTCAAGAGCACTTTCAAAAAACACAATGGGTACCAAAGTGCTGTACATAAAAATAACTAATAGTAAATCTGAGTGCTCTGCTCCACCTCGACCCATCGCCCTGGCTCCTGCACTCCTGGCGCGTTCAAGTCATCTCTTAAAGATCGTATTTACGAGTTGAACGCACATGAACACCACCACAATGTTGTAAATACAAGTGGGAAGCTTGGGATTTTCTTTAAGCCTCGATCTTTACGAGTTGGGGGCGTGTCAGTGAGAAACATGGCGGAATACAACAATATTATTTTCTATTAGCAGCGCAGTAAACTAATTGCCTCCACAACTCCTCCACTGCTCTCCGACCCTCCACCCCTACGCTCCGGCTAGCTTCGCCTCCTTCAGGCTCCGCCTCCCTCAGCCGACGGCTCCACCTGGGTCGGACATCACCACGCCTCCACGACTCCTCCACTGCTATCCGGGCCACCACCCCTACGCTCCGGCTAGCTCCGCCTCCCTCAGCCGTCGGCTCCACCTGGGTCGGACAACGCCACGCCTCCACGACTCCTCCACTGCTCTCCGGCTCTCCACCCCTACGCTCCGGCTAGCTCCGCCTCCCTCAGGCTCCGCCTCCCTCAGCCGTCGGCTACACCTGGGTCGGACATCGCCATGCCTCCACGACTCCTCCACTGCTCTCCGGCCCTCCAGCCCTACGCTCTGGCTAGCTCCGTCTCCCTCAGGCTCCGCCTCCCTCAGCCGTCGGCTGCACCTGGGTCGGACATCGCCATGCCTCCACGACTCCTCCACTGCTCTCCGGCCCTCCACCCCTATGCTCTGGCTAGCACCGCCTCCCTCAGCCGACGGCTTCACCTGGGTCGGACACCGCCGCACCTCCACGACTCCTCCACTGCTCTCCGGCCCCCCACCCCTTTGCTCTGGCTAGCTCCGCCTCCCTCAGCCGACGGCTCCACCTGGGTCGGACATCGCCACGCCTCCACGACTCCTCCACTGCTCTCTGGCCCTCCACCCCTACGCTCCGGCTAGCTCCGCCTCCATCAGCCGACAGCTCCACCTGGGTCGGACATCGCCACACCTCCACGACTCCTCCACTGCTCTCCGGCTCTCCACCCCTACGCTCCGGCTAGCTCCGCCTCCCTCGGCCGAAGGCTCCACCTGGGTCGGACATCGCCACGCCTCCACGAGTCCCTCCACTGCTCTCCGGCCCTCCACCCCTACGCTCCGGCTAGCTCCGCCTCCCTCGGCCGAAGGCTCCACCTGGGTCGGACATCGCCACGCCTCCACGAGTCCCTCCACTGCTCTCCGGCCCTCCACCCCTACGCTCCGGCTAGCTCCGCCTCCCTCAGCCGACGGCTCCACCTGGGTCGGACATCGCCACGCCTCCACGACTCTTCCACTGCTCTTCGGCCCTCCACCTCTACGCTCCGGCTAGCTCCGCCTCCCTCAGCCGACGGCTCCACCTGGGTCGGACATCGCCACTCCTCCACTGCTCTCCGGGCCACCACCCCTACGCTCCGGCTAGCTCCGCTTCCCTCAGCCGACAGCTCCACCTGGGTCGGACATCGCCACACCTCCACGACTCCTCCACTGCTCTCCGGCCCTACACCCCTACGCTCCGGCTAGCTCCGCCTCCCTCAGCCGACGGCTCCACCTGGGTCGGACATCGCCACGCCTCCACGACTCCTCCACTGCTCTCTGGCCCTCCACCCCTACGCTCCGGCTAGCTCCGCCTCCCTCAGCTGACGGCTCCACCTGGGTCGGACATCGCCACACCTCCACGACTCCTCCACTGCTCTCCGGCCCTCCACCCCTACGCTCCGGCTAGCTCCGCCTCCCTCAGCCGACGGCTCCACCTGGGTCAGACATCGCCACACCTCCACGACTCCTCCACTGCTCTCTGGCCCTCCACCCCTACGCTCCGGCTAGCTCCGCCTCCCTCAGCCGACGGCTCCACCTGGGTCGGACATCGCCACACCTCCACGACTCCTCCACTGCTCTCCGGCCCTCCACCCCTATGCTCTGGCTAGCTCCGCCTCCCTCAGCCGACGGCTCCACCTGGGTCGGACATCGCCACACCTCCACGACTCCTCCACTGCTCTCTGGCCCTCCACCCCTACGCTCCGGCTAGCTCCACCTCCCTCAGCCGACGGCTCCACCTGGGTTGGACATCGCCACACCTCCACGACTCCTCCACTGCTCTCCGGCTCTCCACCCCTACGCTCCGGCTAGCGCCGCCTCCCTCAGCCGAAGGCTCCACCTGGGTCGGACATCGCCACGCCTCCACGACTCCTCCACTGCTCTCTGGCCCTCCACCCCTACGCTCCGGCTAGCTCCGCCTCCCTCAGCCGACGGCTCCACCTGGGTCGGACATCGCCACGCCTCCACGACTCCTCCACTGCTCTCTGGCCCTCCACCCCTACGCTCCGGCTAGCTCCGCCTCCCTCAGCCGACGGCTCCACCTGGGTCGGACATCGCCACGCCTCCACGACTCCTCCACTGCTCTCTGGCCCTCCACCCCTACGCTCCGGCTAGCTCCGCCTCCCTCAGCCGAAGGCTCCACCTGGGTCGGACATCGCCACGCCTCCACGAGTCTTCCACTGCTCTCCGGCCAGGGGCGGAGTGGGACCAAAAAATCTACCGGGAAATTTCGTAGACCACCGGCCCTCGTCGCCGGCAGGGCCGGATTAAGAGCCCCCTGGGCACAATGTCTTGTAGGTCCCCTCTTAGGCAGGCCAAATGTATATTTTGTCCAGGGACATTTTAATACGGCATTTACAGTTTTACTGATTTAAAAGTAACTTTGTTGTACTATGCTGGAGTAAAGTTCATAAATGGTCGTTCTTTCCCATAGGAATTTTTAAAACTATGTTGGGTGGACCTCTGTGCCTCTAGGGGGGTTCGGGGGCATGCTCCCCCGCAAGAATTTTTTTTACATTTTAAGGTTAAATGCATCAATCTCGTGCTCTTTGAGAGATCAAAATTAAGAGCTTCAACCCATGAACTGCTCGTTGAACAAAGAAAAAGCATTGATTTGTACCAGGGCAATAAAGAGGGCATCTTTTTAGTTATGAGAGTCTCAGTCTGCATTACATTATCAATGATGTTTTAGGATGCCAAACAATTATTATTATAATGTAATAATGATTTATATAATTATTCCTATGACGTAAAATCCATTTAGCCTATAAATGTACTATATAAATGAAAATGAATATTTCAAAAGTATATTTTAGCCTACATTACACTATAATATAGGACAATTAAAATATTTTTGTCCTAATTTCTTCATTTGCAAGAAATAAACCCTTGAGCTTTTAGGAGAAAACACCAGATAACCATGCTGATCGCGTGAGCAAAGTAATCACCCAGCACAGACAGGATGCCTATTCTTAAAGTCTTGTGCTGTTTTATAAAGACACAAAGCCATATCATGGTTTCAATTTTAGTTCGTTGGCAAAATATAACGCTAGAGACCTTAATGTTAGGTTATACATTTTACATCTTTACATATGTGTTGGGAAAAGGGAGAAGAGAGAGTTCGGCAAAAGGCGGATTCGAACTCGGGTCGAGCGCATCAAAAGCTGCTTTCAAGCACTTCACGCCCTACGACCTACGCCACTGTAGCTGTTTCGTAACGAGTGTCTTTTTGCTTTAAAGACAGGCACTTAGTGCAAATATACGCTCTGTTATAGAAAATGTTAAAAAAAAATGTTTTCTTCCCCTCGCTTGGGCCCCAAGTGCGCATGGCGAATTTGCAATGAATATATTTTATCAGACCGGCCCTCGCGGCCTCGAAACAATACCGGCCCACCGGGAAAACTCCCGACTCTCCCGATTGCCACTCCGCTACTGTCTCCGGCCCTCCACCCCTACGCTCCGGCTAGCTCCGCCTCCCTCAGCCGACGGCTCCACCTGGGTCGGACATCGCCACACCTCCACGACTCCTCCACTGCTCTCTGGCCCTCCACCCCTACGCTCCGGCTAGCTCCGCCTCCCTCAGCCGAAGGCTCCACCTGGGTCGGACATCGCCACGCCTCCACGACTCCTCCACTGCTCTCTGGCCCTCCACCCCTACGCTCCGGCTAGCTCCGCCTCCCTCAGCCGACGGCTCCACCTGGGTCGGACATCGCCACGCCTCCACGACTCCTCCACTGCTCTTTGGCCCTCCACCCCTACGCTCCGGCTAGCTCCGCCTCCCTCAGCCGAAGGCTCCACCTGGGTCGGACATCGCCACGCCTCCACGAGTCTTCCACTGCTCTCCGGCCCTCCACCCCTACGCTCCGGCTAGCTCCGCCTCCCTCAGCCGACGGCTCCACCTGGGTCGGACATCACCACACCTCCACGACTCCTCCACTGCTCTCCGGCCCTCCACCCCTACGCTCCGGCTAGCTCCGCCTCCCTCAGCCGACGGCTCCACCTGGGTCGGACATCACCACACCTCCACGACTCCTCCACTGCTCTCCGGCCCTCCACCCCTACGCTCCGGCTAGCTCCGCCTCCCTCAGCCGACGGCTCCACCTGGGTCGGACATCACCACACCTCCACGACTCCTCCACTGCTCTCCGGCCCTCCACCCCTACGCTCCGGCTAGCTCCGCCTCCCTCAGCCGACGGCTCCACCTGGGTCGGACATCACCACACCTCCACGACTCCTCCACTGCTCTCCGGCCCTCCACCCCTACGCTCCGGCTAGCTCCGCCTCCCTCAGCCGACGGCTCCACCTGGGTCGGACATCACCACACCTCCACGACTCCTCCACTGCTCTCCGGCCCTCCACCCCTACGCTCCGGCTAGCTCCGCCTCCCTCAGCCGACGGCTCCACCTGGGTCGGACATCACCACACCTCCACGACTCCTCCACTGCTCTCCGGCCCTCCACCCCTACGCTCCGGCTAGCTCCGCCTCCCTCAGCCGACGGCTCCACCTGGGTCGGACATCACCACACCTCCACGACTCCTCCACTGCTCTCCGGCCCTCCACCCCTACGCTCCGGCTAGCTCCGCCTCCCTCAGCCGACGGCTCCACCTGGGTCGGACATCACCACACCTCCACGACTCCTCCACTGCTCTCCGGCCCTCCACCCCTACGCTCCGGCTAGCTCCGCCTCCCTCAGCCGACGGCTCCACCTGGGTCGGACATCACCACGCCTCCACGACTCCTCCACTGCTCTGTGACTGTCCCATGAAAATTCATTGATCATCACAGCTGTTAGTCATTATGTTCTCATCACCATGTGTATTTAGTTCCTCACCTCCACTCATTCAGTTTTCCGGTATTGTTTGTGCTTGCACACATTTTTGTTTGCTTTCTCTTCGAGTTGGATTACATAAATTTACTTTATTAAAAAAACAACACTTTTACTTTTATCTTCTTCATCGGACTAAACGTGACACATTTTATCCTTGTTTTCTTAGTTTTCCTCCCATATCACTGTTGTCTCAAACACTACACAAACATTAGGAAAACAACCTTTATTAGAAGCAAAATTGTTCAATGTAGTGGAAATTATGCCACAACAGTGAGTGTCGTAAAAAAGTGCAATTTTTACAATTGTTTTTACACAATAAATATTGCAATGGGTCATGTTTCTGAACTTTTTGTTTAAACATGTAGTTTTTCAAACTTATGTGAAAAATTTTCATAGATGAAGATTAAAAGTCTGGATCTGGTACAAAAGTAAACAATATTTATACAGAAAATCCATTTGAAAAGTAGCAAAAATAAATAATAATTCCATTATAAAATAGTTTCCAAGACAAATTCATTGTAATCTCCATATAACAAAAATAAATGTAAAAAAAAAAAAAAAAAACTGGGGCATGAAAGTACCTGAAGTAAAAGAAACCAGAACTGTATTCCACAACCACCAAAAATGTAGTTTTCCAAGAAATGTTTCCATTGTCCACTTTTCCCACGTCACAAAGACAAAAGAATATTTTGAAATATGTCAATGCTGTCTGTGGATTGCTGGGTTATGCAATGTATTGTAATGTAATATAGGAGCCACTGATATTACTATGGTAGTATTTTGATGTCCCTTCAATTTCTCTTATGTCTTTCTCTAATATTTAAGTAAGATATGTAAATGTAAACCTGTGTACCTTTTAACATTCATATATAGTTAGTTTTTATTTCTGCACCACTATAATGAACTGCAAAAATAATGGCTCGCCCCAAACTCACATTTGCTGAGCCAATGTTATATCCAGCCCAGATGGGCCGTGCAAACAAACATTACTATTATGATTTTGATATTTTCCATTAAAACATCCTCTCAGTGTTGAAGATCTTGAGTTTTGTCATGAAGTTGAAGTAAATGTAGGCCAGGCAGACCAGCATATTCTTGATCACATACAGTACTGGTGTTACAAAACCAAAAAGGCCAACCAATGCCAACCTCAAGACGAGGAAGGGCAGGTCCTGAAAGAGCACGGCCAGAGGCGAGAGCAGGGGACTGTGAGGTGTTAGGACCAAGCGCATCGTGGAGAGGAAGCAGAAGAGGTAAACTGGAAATGCCCAGCCTGAAAAATACACAGCAGTGTGTCCTGCCACCCGAGCCATCTCGACCGTGTCCAACCAGAACAAGAAGCTGTCAGCGAAGACTTCAGCACGACTGTCGCTAGCCAGTAGGAAGCTTAGCGGTCCGGAATATGGAGAGGCAATGGTTTGGAAGTGTACACCAGAATTTGGACCAGTCCCGGTTCTGCCAATCTGCTGTCCGTTGATCCCCGGTACACTAGACGTGGCTCCATTCCCAGGCAACCCTGGACCGGTTGTGTTGCCAAGATGGGCTGGAACTGCTCCATTGTTTGGCAACCCTGGAGCGGTTGCACTGCCTGACCCGTTGCCCGGGGTGCCCTGAGCAGTCGCCCCGGCGGGTGGTCCTTGCACAGCCCCGTTCGCTGCCCCGGCACTATGATCTGCGGCAGCACTGCCAGCCGTCGCAGGAGGGACCACCGGAGTCACTTTTCCAATGTGTGTCTGCAAGGTAGGGATGTCGGCATCTCGAGCCAGTTCGTTAGCTGTATGCACACACAAACACACACAAAATAAGGAGCCAGTTGGTGAAATATAAAGAAATGATCCTTTCACATTATAAAATGGAAAGTACAGATATTCAAGGTTTAAATGAAAATTACTCAACCTCATGTCGTTCCAAACAGATAAGAGTTTCGTTCATCTTCGGATCACAAATGAAGATCTTTTTGATGAAATCGGAGATATTTCTGTCCCTCCACTGACAGTCTTACAACTGACAATTTGACTCTTTAAAAGGTTCATAATGGTTTTGTAAAACTAATCCTTATGAATTGAGCGGTTTAGTCAAAAACTAAAGACATTCAAAAACTAAAGCATGTTTGCTATACGTGCGAAAACCAACGAGCTTCATTCTGGTGTTACGCAGCACTTCTGACCTTCAGCAAAGAACGCTTGAGGTTCACAAGAGGTTTGTTCTCATGTTCGGTTGAGCTTCCGTTTACTGTGTGTTTGCTGATCAATGTTTATATGCGAGTAAAAGCCTAAAATAAATCTGTACAGCATATCAAGCGATCGAGTCTCTTCAGAAAATGTGGACTTATGCTGCGTTCCAGGCAGGTTTTTGAGCAGGTAAATCACGACTTCAAACCACGACTCACGACTTTGTAGTGTTCCAGGCCAGTCACGCCAAACTACCTGAGCGCAAGGAATTGTGGTAGCTAGATGTAAACAAACCATTGTTGTTTTGTATGGTTTCGCGGGCTGTGTGACGTCAGAGCTCGTAACTGGGAGTACATCGATCTAGTACGAGTTCACGGGTGGGAAGTCACGGGTTTGACTGCTGTTCCAGTGCACTTTCACGGGTATAAGGTTGGAAAAACACGGGTTACAGGTTGCCTGGAACGCGGCATTAATATCTCAATTCAAATGGATTCGTTTTTCAATCTCTTTATGCACTTTTTGAAGCAACAAAGTGGTATTTGTGTGGACTGTCAATGGAGGGACAGAAATCTCTCATATTTCATCAAAAAGGTCTTCATTTGTGTTTAGAAGATGAACAACTGAACCAGACGATTCGAATGTTGAGCAAGCAATCTCATTGGCTGCAGGATCAGCAGGGGCCAATCAGCTTGCGCCATGCGGTAATAATGTGATTGTATGTGAAGGTAAACTTTTTGTGTGTGTAAATGTAATTTAAAAAGTTCAAGTATTCACTTTTAATTGCACCTGAGTAAAGTACAAATATTTGAATATAATATCTAAGTATAACCAAGTAAAAATATATATACATCCCCACCAATGTCATACCCTTGAGTCCAGAGTTAAATTCAAAGATTTTGGTTTAATCATGAGAATAAATAAATAAACGTTTTTTTATTACTGCATGTAAACTTTGTTAAACAGTTTTTGCACAGTGTTCTTCTAAACAAATGACTATTTCTCTACTTTTTAATATCAATATTTGTTGTGCTGCTGTGCATTTACACCTTTCCCGTCTCATTCTCATATTATCTTTGTGTTTGCCTTTGAATCTTTTCCTGTGTGGATAAGAATTTCCTGAGCTCATCGCTCATATTAACCACAAAAAGATGCTGATTTCCTGTTATATTGTGATTTCACATCAGCAGAAACCCAGAGGCTTCTCACACTTTATTCCAGCTGCTCTTCTTCTCTTGTGCTCTTACTGCTATAGTCCCCCCTGCTGGACACAATCAGTACTTGCAGAGCAATTGCTTAAAGTCCCCCTGTGGTGAAACTCCAGCGTTTAATGTTGTTTATGTGTCTATGTGGTGTTTTTAATACGCTTTAAGACACACCATGTGTAAGTTCATAAGTCGACAGCATTGCTGAGTATTTCCTCCTTAAAACTGCAGTGAACCAAAGACAGTCTCAAAAACACGGTTTGAAATCGCTGGTGTTTCTGACGTCACAAACGACCTTGTAACCAATCAGATCAACGTGTGATCGTCAACCAGTGGATCTCTGAGCTGAGCGAGTGAGTGGAGGCGGGGCTCATTTGCATATTCATAGAACCACCGCGAATACTAATGAGGCAAGGGTGTCGAGTTACATTCAAGATATTTTAAGACATGAGGGTATGTTTTGAAGGTTTTAAGTGATACAATTATTGACAGGGGGACTTTAAAGGGATAGTTGACCAACAAAAAAGATTTATCAATTATTAACCTTAAGAAAAACCTAATTTTACTTGCAAACGTTTCAACTTGCTTGCATTTTAACCTGAACTGACAGCCTTCATCTGGACCGAATGAGACGAGTGATGCTGTGCGAGTGAAAGGAGGCGGGGCTTTTGAACCGTTTCAGATATTTCAGTATAGATATGGATTGAAAGATTGCATTGATGGGACGAAGCGGAGAGAGAATCCACATGCAAGCACTACTTTAATAATAATACAAAAAGGTAATCCAGGCCAAACAAAGAAACTCAGGACAGGAACATGGCACAGCAAACAACGACTGACAAACTCAGACCTAAGTTAGGTTTTTATTTTAGATTAAAGAGGTGCTTTCCTTATTCAGCAAGGAAAAGGTTGGTGCAGAGTTCATTCTTAACAGTTTTGGATTACGGTGATTTAATTTATATGTACTCTACCTCATTTTAATAAAAAAAAAACTAGATGTATTATATCACTCTGCCTTACGTTTCATTACAGATGCAAGGACTCACCATTGCAATGGCCCTCCCTCTCTCTCAGAAGAAAATTTCATCTATTGATTTTTATTGGCAAAGCACTAATGGGTAAATTACCCATTTACATTTCAAATTTACTTACTTACCAAAACAGTATTTAGAGAACAAGTATTTATTTATTCCATCAACAAAAACAGAATTTGGTAAAAAAAAAAAAAAGCTTTTTCATCATATGCACCAAATGTCTGGAATGAACTCCAAAGAATCACTTCCATCTATTCATATTTTTAAAAACCTTTAAAAGGTGTGAAAGGTGTAATTGTTTTTAACTAGGTACCCTTTAAATTATATGTTTGTATTTACTTAAGTTAAACAAAATGTCTTGTTTGTATATGTATAGTCTATGTATAGAGATAATTGTTTTGTCCAGTTTTTTTTTTACATTTTTTTTCTTTGCAACTTTTTTGCCGCCTATCTTGGCCAGGACTCCCGGGAGAAGAGTCACTGTAACTCAATGGGACTATTCCTGGTTAAATAAAGGTTAAATAAAAAATAAACCACAAGAGAAACACAAGGGCAATTTATACACAGGCTAACAAGGTAACAACGGGTGTGGTTGGGAACATACGAGGGTAACCAAGGGAACTAACAAGACACACCTGGAGAGATTAATCAACATGAAAAACTACAAAACATGGCACAAGAATCCTCACACAAGACATGAACACAGGCTGAGATCGTGACAGATTCCCACTCCTAATCATTACTGTCATTTTTACACAATTGAAGCTCTGCTCCATCAAATGGCAAGAGATAGTGAAGCACATATAGTAAAAACTCAATTAAAGCATCATAAAACCCCTGTGCTTCATCACTCCAAGTCTTCTGAGGCCGTTCGAGAGCGTTGTGTATCTGGCAGAGACTCCCTCGCCTCGCCCTCACTCACCTCGACCAGTCAGTCGGCAGTATCGGATTCTTTCCACGATATCGATGCAGATCAGCGAGAGAAGCACCAAAGACACGGGCAGTTCAGCAAACGTGTCCAACCTCAGATCATTCCTAATCTGTACCTTAAAAGGGAGAGAGAAAGACAGTAAAACAGAGATGTTTGCACACCAGGTTTATTTGCTTTTGTTTGGTTTTTACAAACACATGCCTTGGATAATCTGAATAGAGAATGTCAGTTTGAGCACACAACTGGTGAGTTTAAAGTATCCCTATTTATGCAAAAGGCATCTGTTTGATTTTCCAATGGTGAAATAAACATTTGAGTAAATCTGAGGACATCATGCATAGAATCTCGAGACCATGAAGGATAATAACATTTTCTGTGAATAGTCAAACATGATTTTACCTCAGAGCTGGCTATAAGGAAGGCGAAACAGGGCAGTGTTGAGAGAACCACATAGGCCAACGCAACAGGTCTCCTGAAAGCAGAAAACTGTTATTATACCGTGATATCATGTTGAGATTTGATCAAAGAACAGTTATGAGTGACATAATGCATTGCATTACACCCCAATGCTATTGCTGCACATTAGCATTGTGTTAAAGTCCCCCTGTAGTCGATCACTTTATCCCTTAAAACTCATCTTTGATCACCAAAATTTTCCTTGTCTTCATGTCTTCAAATATCTTGAATGTAACTCGATACCCTTGCCTCATTTAGTATTCGCGGGTCTATGAATATGCAAATGAGCCCCGCCTTCACTCACTCGCTCAGCTCAGAGATCCACTGGTTGATGATTACACGTTGATCTGATTGGTTACAAGGTCGTTTGTGACGTCAGAAACACCAGCGATTTCAAACCGTGTTTTTGAGACTGTCTTTGGTTCACTGCAGTTTTAAGGAGGAAATACTCAGCAATGCTGTCGACTTATGAACTTACACATGGTGTGTCTTAAAGCGTATTAAAAACACCACATACACACATAAACAACATTAAAAGCTGGATTTTCACCACAGGGGGACTTTACTTTAATACAAATATGGTACTCATTCACTACCAATGGCATTATCATATCATATTCATAACATGGTTCTCCACGGCACTTCAAATAATACAATATTATAGTAGAAAATCTGTAAAATGTGATTTTACCATGAGAACATATCCACATTTTTTTATATTTTTCCTGTTTCTCAGTGACGCTATTTGTATGTTGCATGAAACCCAGAAGAAAGCTACTCATGTTTTCTCTCACCACTTCTTCCGAGCAACTAGCGCCCTCTTCTTCATGAACACCATGTACTTCATGGGCAGCCAGATCAGCATGGCCACGGACGTCACGTAGGCCACGGACGAGGCCACGATCAGCCAGTACGCGGTGGAGGAGTAGTGCGATCGGCTCTTCACCTTCACTCGAGACACGATCAGGGCGAAGCGCTGCATGATGATGAAGAGAGGAACGCAGAAGCTGGAGAACTGAAGCACCTCACACACAGCGAACTTAATCCGGCTCCCCCGGCCCATGCTGAGGAAGGGATGCGAGGGGAAGAAAGAAAAGAAAAAGAAAACACAGAGTTGCTGTCGGCCTGTGGTCGGTGGGGTGGGGGGGGGGGGGGGGGTATTGTACCGAAGCTCCAGGATGTTCCACCACAGCACTGAGAGGATCATGCTGACTCTGCACTCACTATTGTGTGTCATCAACACACACTACATCAACACACACTACATTAACACACACATCAACACACGCTCCAGGCCAGAGCGATCCTCAACCAAAGGGAACTGGATAATATTCTGAATGTTCTGATCCAATATGACCTCTGACCTGTAATGCCTGAATCACAATCACACACTGTTTGCTCGTTGGCCAGGGGAGAACTGAGACTGAGTCTGGTTTCTCTCAAGGGTTTTCCTCCATTCTGTCACTGAAGGAGTTTGTGTTTCTTCACTGTCGCCTCTGGCTTTTGGCTTGTTTAGTTGGGGACACTTAATTTAATATCCAACAATATTATTGATCCAATCCAATCCACTTTATTTATATAGCACAATTTAAACAAACACAAGGTTTCCAAAGTGCTGTACACCACAACAATAAAACACAATAGGATAAAATTAATACAATACAATAAGCACAATAAGATAAAAGTAATAAAATAAGATAAAACAGCATAAAATTAAATAAATCAAATCAAATAAGTAAATAGAAAGTACTGCCACACAGCACATTAGAATCACATCAATCATGATTACCTGCTGTTAAAAGCCAAAGTAAAAAGATGGGTTTTAAGCAGAGATTTAAAATGAGACAGTGAGGAGGCTTGTCTAATGTGCAGTGGCAATACATTCCAAAGTTGTGGAGCTGCAAAAGCAAAAGCTCGTTCTCCTCTAAGTTTTAGCCTAGTTCTGGGCACTGTCAATGACTGACAACACTGACTAAAAAATTAATACACAGAGAAACAAAACACCTGCGGATACAATAAAGGGTAACCAATGAAACAATACAACAATAGAACTACAAAGAGACTAAAAAGAGAAATATATAGTGCTTTTTACAATACAGATTGTTACAGGACGCAGTGGAGTAAAGCGTGGGGTGCAGTGAAGTAAAGCGTGGGGTGCAGTGAAGTAAAGCGTGGGGATGCAGTGGAGTAAAGCGTGGGGATGCAGTGGTGTAAAGCGGGGGATGCAGTGGAGTAAAGCGTGGGGATGCAGTGGAGTAAAGCGTGGGGATGCAGTGGAGTAAAGCGTGGGGATGCAGTGGAGTAAAGCGTGGGGATGCAGTGGAGTAAAGCGTGGAGTGCAGTGAAGTAAAGCGTGGAGTGCAGTGAAGTAAAGCGTGGGGTGCAGTGAAGTAAAGCGTGGGGTGCAGTGAAGTAAAGCGTGGAGTGCAGTGGAGAAAAGCATGGGGTCAGGTGAAGTAAAGCGTGGGGTGCAGTGAAGTAAACCGTGGGGTGCAGTGAAGTAAAGCATGGGGTGCAGTGGTGTAAAGCGTGGGACGCAGTGGAGTAAAGCGTGGGGTGCAGTGAAGTAAAGTGTGGGATGCCGTGGAGTAAAGCGTGGGGTGCAGTGAAGTAAAGCGTGGGGTGCAGTGAAGTAAAGCGTGGGGTGCAGTGGAGTAAAGCGTGGGATGCAGTGGAGTAAAGCGTGGGGTGCAGTGGAGTAAAGCGTGGGATGCAGTGGAGTAAAGCGTGGGGTCCAGTGAAGTAAAGCGTGGGGATGCAGTGGAGAAAAGCGTGGGGTGCAGTGGAGTAAAGCGGGGGATGCAGTGGAGTAAAGCGTGGGGTGCAGTGGAGTAAACCGTGGGATGCAGTGGAGTAAAGCGTGGGGTCCAGTGAAGTAAAGCGTGGGGATTCAGTGGAGTTAAGCGTGGGGTGCAGTGAAGTAAAGCGTGGGGTGCAGTGGAGTAAAGCGTGGGATGCAGTGGAGTAAAGCGTGGGGATGCAGTGAAGTAAAGCGTGGGGTCCAGTGGAGTAAAGCGTGGGGATGCAGTGAAGTAAAGCGTGGGGTGCAGTGAAGTAAAGCGTGGGGTGCAGTGGAGTAAAGCGTGGGGTGCAGTGGAGTAAAGCGTGGGGTGCAGTGGAGTAAAGCGTGGGGTGCAGTGAAGTAAAGCGTGGGGATGCAGTGGAGTAAAGCGTGGGGTGCAGTGAAGTAAAGCGTGGGATGCAGTGGAGTAAAGCGTGGGGTGCAGTGAAGTAAAGCGTGGGGATGCAGTGGAGTAAAGCGTGGGGATGCAGTGAAGTAAAGCGTGGGATGCAGTGGAGTAAAGCTTGGGGATGCAGTGAAGTAAAGCGTGGGATGCAGTGGAGTAAAGCGTGGGGTGCAGTGAAGTAAAGCGTGGGATATAGTGGAGTAAAGCGTGGGGATGCAGTGAAGTAAAGCGTGGAGTGCAGTGAAGTAAAGCGTGGGGTGAAGCGAAGTAAAGCGTGGGGTGCAGTGGAGTAAAGCGGTGGATGCAGTGGAGTAAAGCATGGGGTGCAGTGGTGTAAAGCGTGGGACGCAGTGGAGTAAAGCGTGGGGTGCAGTGGAGTAAAGCGGGGGATGCAGTGGAGTAAAGCATGGGGTGCAGTGGTGTAAAGCGTGGGACGCAGTGGAGTAAAGCATGGGGTGCAGTGGAGTAAAGCATGGGGATGCAGTGAAGTAAAGCGTGGGGATGCAGTGGAGTAAAGCGTGGGGTGCAGTGAAGTAAAGCGTGGGATGCAGTGGAGTAAAGCGTGGGGATGCAGTGAAGTAAAGCGTGGGGTGCAGTGAAGTAAAGCGTGGGGTGCAGTGAAGTAAAGCGTGGGGATGCAGTGGAGTAAAGCGTGGAGTGCAGTGAAGTAAAGCGTGGAGTGCAGTGAAGTAAAGCGTGGGGTGCAGTGAAGTAAAGCGTGGAGTGCAGTGGAGAAAAGCGTGGAGTGCAGTGAAGTAAAGCGTGGGGATGCAGTGGAGTAAAGCGTGGGATGCAGTGGAGTAAAGCGTGGGGTCCAGTGAAGTAAAGCGTGGGGATGCAGTGGAGAAAAGCGTGGGGTGCAGTGGAGTAAAGCGGGGGATGCAGTGGAGTAAAGCGGGGGATGCAGTGGAGTAAAGCGTGGGGTGCAGTGGAGTAAAGCGGGGGATGCAATGGAGTAAAGCATGGGGTGCAGTGTTGTAAAGCGTGGGGTGCAGTGAAGTAAAGCGTGGGGATGCAGTGGTGTAAAGCATGGGGTCAGATGAAGTAAAGCGTGGGGTGCAGTGAAGTAAAGCGTGGAGTGCAGTGAAGTAAAGCGTGGGGTGCAGTGAAGTAAAGCGTGGGGTGCAGTGAAGTAAAGCGTGGAGTGCAGTGGAGAAAAGCGTGGGGATGCAGTGAAGTAAAGCGTGGGGATGCAGTGGAGTAAAGCGTGGGGATGCAGTGGAGTAAAGCGTGGGGATGCAGTGGAGTAAAGCGTGGGGATGCAGTGGAGTAAAGCGTGGGGTGCAGTGAAGTAAAGCGTGGGATGCAGTGGAGTAAAGCGTGGGGATGCAGTGAAGTAAAGCGTGGGGTGCAGTGAAGTAAAGCGTGGGGTGCAGTGAAGTAAAGCGTGGGGTGCAGTGAAGTATAGCGTGGGGTGCAGTGGAGTAAAGCGTGGGATGCAGTGGAGTAAAGCGTGGGGTGCAGTGGAGTAAAGCGTGGGATGCAGTGGAGTAAAGTGTGGGGTCCAGTGAAGTAAAGCGTGGGGATGCAGTGGAGAAAAGCGTGGGGTGCAGTGGAGTAAAGCGTGGGATGCAGTGGAGTAAAGCGTGGGGTGCAGTGGAGTAAAGCGTGGGATGCAGTGGAGTAAAGCGTGGGGTCCAGTGAAGTAAAGCGTGGGGATGCAGTGGAGAAAAGCGTGGGGTGCAGTGGAGTAAAGCGGGGGATGCAGTGGAGTAAAGCGTGGGGTGCAGTGGAGTAAACCGTGGGATGCAGTGGAGTAAAGCGTGGGGTCCAGTGAAGTAAAGCGTGGGGATTCAGTGGAGTTAAGCGTGGGGTGCAGTGAAGTAAAGCATGGGGTGCAGTGGAGTAAAGCGTGGGATGCAGTGGAGTAAAGCGTGGGGATGCAGTGAAGTAAAGCGTGGAGTGCAGTGAAGTAAAGCGTGGGGTGCAGTGAAGTAAAGCGTGGGGATGCAGTGAAGTAAAGCGTGGGGTGCAGTGAAGTAAAGCGTGGAGTGCAGTGAAGTAAAGCGTGGGGTGCAGTGGAGAAAAGCGTGGGGATGCAGTGAAGTAAAGCGTGGGGATGCAGTGGAGTAAAGCGTGGGGATGCAGTGGAGAAAAGCGTGGGGATGCAGTGAAGTAAAGCGTGGGGATGCAGTGGAGTAAAGCGTGGGGATGCAGTGGAGTAAAGCGTGGGGATGCAGTGGAGTAAAGCGTGGGGTGCAGTGAAGTAAAGCGTGGGATGCAGTGGAGTAAAGCGTGGGGTGCAGTGAAGTACAGCGTGGGGTGCAGTGAAGTAAAGCGTGGGGTGCAGTGAAGTAAAGCGTGGGGTGCAGTGAAGTAAAGCGTGGGGTGCAGTGAAGTAAAGCGTGGGGTGCAGTGGAGTAAAGTGTGGGGTCCAGTGAAGTAAAGCGTGGGGATGCAGTGGAGAAAAGCGTGGGGTGCAGTGGAGTAAAGCGGGGGATGCAGTGGAGTAAAGCGTGGGGTGCAGTGGAGTAAACCGTGGGATGCAGTGGAGTAAAGCGTGGGGTCCAGTGAAGTAAAGCGTGGGGATTCAGTGGAGTTAAGCGTGGGGTGCAGTGAAGTAAAGCATGGGGTGCAGTGGAGTAAAGCGTGGGATGCAGTGGAGTAAAGCGTGGGGATGCAGTGAAGTAAAGCGTGGGGTCCAGTGGAGTAAAGCGTGGGGATGCAGTGGAGTAAAGCGTGGGATGCAGTGGAGTAAAGCGTGGGGTCCAGTGAAGTAAAGCGTGGGGATTCAGTGGAGTTAAGCATGGGGTGCAGTGAAGTAAAGCGTGGGGATGCAGTGGAGTAAAGCGTGGGGTGCAGTGAAGTAAAGCGTGGGATGCAGTGGAGTAAAGCGTGGGGTGCAGTGAAGTAAAGCGTGGGGTGCAGTGAAGTAAAGCGTGGGGTGCAGTGAAGTAAAGCGTGGGGTGCAGTGAAGTAAAGCGTGGGGTGCAGTGAAGTAAAGCGTGGGGTGCAGTGGAGTAAAGCGTGGGATGCAGTGGAGTAAAGCGTGGGGTGCAGTGGAGTAAAGCGTGGGATGCAGTGGAGTAAAGCGTGGGGTCCAGTGAAGTAAAGCGTGGGGATGCAGTGGAGAAAAGCGTGGGGTGCAGTGGAGTAAAGCGTGGGATGCAGTGGAGTAAAGCGTGGGGTGCAGTGGAGTAAAGCGTGGGATGCAGTGGAGTAAAGCGTGGGGTCCAGTGAAGTAAAGCGTGGGGATGCAGTGGAGAAAAGCGTGGGGTGCAGTGGAGTAAAGCGGGGGATGCAGTGGAGTAAAGCGTGGGGTGCAGTGGAGTAAACCGTGGGATGCAGTGGAGTAAAGCGTGGGGTCCAGTGAAGTAAAGCGTGGGGATTCAGTGGAGTTAAGCGTGGGGTGCAGTGAAGTAAAGCATGGGGTGCAGTGGAGTAAAGCGTGGGGATGCAGTGAAGTAAAGCGTGGGGTCCAGTGGAGTAAAGCGTGGGGATGCAGTGGAGTAAAGCGTGGGGATGCAGTGGAGTAAAGCGTGGGATGCAGTGGAGTAAAGCGTGGGGTCCAGTGAAGTAAAGCGTGGGGATTCAGTGGAGTTAAGCGTGGGGTGCAGTGAAGTAAAGCGTGGGGATGCAGTGGAGTAAAGCGTGGGGTGCAGTGAAGTAAAGCGTGGAGTGCAGTGAAGTAAAGCGTGGGGTGCAGTGAAGTAAAGCGTGGGGTGCAGTGAAGTAAAGCGTGGGGATGCAGTGGTGTAAAGCATGGGGTCAGGTGAAGTAAAGCGTGGGGTGCAGTGAAGTAAACCGTGGGGTGCAGTGAAGTAAAGCGTGGGATGCAGTGGAGTAAAGCGTGGGGTGCAGTGAAGTAAAGCGTGGGGTGCAGTGAAGTAAAGCGTGGGGTGCAGTGAAGTAAACCGTGGGGTGCAGTGAAGTAAAGCGTGGGATGCAGTGGAGTAAAGCGTGGGGTGCAGTGAAGTAAAGCGTGGGGTGCAGTGAAGTAAAGCGTGGAGTGCAGTGAAGTAAAGCGTGGGGTGCAGTGAAGTAAAGCGTGGGGTGCAGTGAAGTAAAGCGTGGGATGCAGTGGAGTAAAGCGTGGGATGCAGTGGAGTAAAGCGTGGGGATGCAGTGGAGTAAAGCGTGGGGATGCAGTGGAGAAAAGCGTGGGGATGCAGTGAAGTAAAGCGTGGGGATGCAGTGGAGTAAAGCGTGGGGATGCAGTGGAGTAAAGCGTGGGGATGCAGTGGAGTAAAGCGTGGGGTGCAGTGAAGTAAAGCGTGGGATGCAGTGGAGTAAAGCGTGGGGTGCAGTGAAGTAAAGCGTGGGGTGCAGTGAAGTAAAGCGTGGGGTGCAGTGAAGTAAAGCGTGGGGTGCAGTGAAGTAAAGCGTGGGGTGCAGTGAAGTAAAGCGTGGGGTGCAGTGGAGTAAAGCGTGGGATGCAGTGGAGTAAAGCGTGGGGTGCAGTGGAGTAAAGCGTGGGATGCAGTGGAGTAAAGCGTGGGGTCCAGTGAAGTAAAGCGTGGGGATGCAGTGGAGAAAAGCGTGGGGTGCAGTGGAGTAAAGCGTGGGATGCAGTGGAGTAAAGCGTGGGGTGCAGTGGAGTAAAGCGTGGGATGCAGTGGAGTAAAGCGTGGGGTCCAGTGAAGTAAAGCGTGGGGATGCAGTGGAGAAAAGCGTGGGGTGCAGTGGAGTAAAGCGGGGGATGCAGTGGAGTAAAGCGTGGGGTGCAGTGGAGTAAACCGTGGGGTGCAGTGGAGTAAACCGTGGGATGCAGTGGAGTAAAGCGTGGGGTCCAGTGAAGTAAAGCGTGGGGATGCAGTGGAGTAAAGCGTGGGGATGCAGTGGAGTAAAGCGTGGGGATGCAGTGGAGTAAAGCGTGGGGTGCAGTGAAGTAAAGCGTGGGATGCAGTGGAGTAAAGCGTGGGGTGCAGTGAAGTAAAGCGTGGGGTGCAGTGAAGTAAAGCGTGGGGTGCAGTGAAGTAAAGCGTGGGGTGCAGTGAAGTAAAGCGTGTGGTGCAGTGAAGTAAAGCGTGGGGTGCAGTGGAGTAAAGCGTGGGGTGCAGTGAAGTAAAGCGTGGGGTGCAGTGGAGTAAAGCGTGGGATGCAGTGGAGTAAAGCGTGGGGTGCAGTGGAGTAAAGCGTGGGATGCAGTGGAGTAAAGCGTGGGGTCCAGTGAAGTAAAGCGTGGGGATGCAGTGGAGAAAAGCGTGGGGTGCAGTGGAGTAAAGCGGGGGATGCAGTGGAGTAAAGCGTGGGGTGCAGTGGAGTAAACCGTGGGATGCAGTGGAGTAAAGCGTGGGGTCCAGTGAAGTAAAGCGTGGGGATTCAGTGGAGTTAAGCGTGGGGTGCAGTGAAGTGAGGAAGAATTTTCTAAACTCGTTAAATCATCTAAATCGACAACATGTATGTTAGACCCTATACCGACTAAGCTAATGAAAGAGATGCTTCCAGAGGTCATAGATCCTCTTCTTACTATCATTAAAGCTGCTGTCCGTAACTTTTTTAAGTTAAAAATAATCCAAATTAATTATTTAAAAAAAAACATCTTCAGCCAGTGGTCAAAACTATCTGCTTGCCATAGCTAGATTCAAAACGGTTAGCTTGTAATAATGATTTTAATTCCAGTGGTACTGGTGGGTTTCCGCGGGAGATTCGAGCATGTCTTTGCGTCATTACGTCACACCCGTACACATAAAGAAGGAGTTTCGGCTAGCCGGCTATACTGCGCGTGACGAGATGTTTAGATGTATAGGCTTTTCTCGCAGCACTTTACATGATTAAACTTATGGCGGATCTGCAGCTTTAATTCAATTACAGGCCGATCTTGAATCTGCCTTTTCTGTCAAAGATACTAGAAAAAGCAGTATCCTCACAACTGTGTTCCTTTCTAGAAAGAAATGATATCTGCGAGGATTTCCAGTCAGGATTTAGACCGTACCATAGCACTGAGACCGCTCTCATCAGAGTCACACATGATTTGCTCTTATCATCCGATCGTGGTTGTATCTCTCTATTAGTGTTACTCGATCTTAGTGCTGCATTTGATACTATTGACCACAACATTCTTTTAAATAGACTAGAAAACTATGTTGGCATTAGTGGAATTGAATTAGCATGGTTTAAATCACACTTATCTGACCGTTATCAGTTTGTAGCAGTAAATGAAGAGATGTCTTATCCATCACAAGTTCAGTATGGCGTACCACAAGGCTCAGTACTAGGACCGCTGCTGTTCACTCTGTACATGCTACCCTCACACACACACACACACACACACACACACACACAAACACACCTACGACTTAACTCTAAAAAAACAGAGATTCTAATTAATGGACAAAAAATGTCCTCACGTAATAACCTAGAATACTGTCTAACACTTGATGGCTGCTCTGTCAAGTCCTCGTCGTCGGTTAGGAACCTGGGTGTGCTCTTTGATCCCAATCTTTCATTTGAAAGTCACGTGTCTAGTATCTGTAAAACCACATTTTTCCATCTTAAAAATATATCTAAATTACGTCATATGCTCTCATTGACGAATGCGGAACAATTACTTCATGCGTTCATGACCTCAAGGCTAGATAACTGTAATGCTCTACTGGGTGGTTGCCCTGCACGCTTAATAAACAAACTAAAGCTAGTTCAAAACGCAGCCGCTCGAGTTCTTACCAGAACCAGGAAATATGACCATATTAGCCCGGTTCTGTCAACACTGCATTGGCTCCCTATTAAACATCGTATAAATTTTTAAATAATGCTGATTACATACAAAGCACTAAATGGTTTAGCTCCCAGTGCTTGAGCGAGCTCTTAACGCATTATAGTCCTTCACATCTATTGCGATCTCTAAGTTTCGCCCAGTTGATAATACCTAGAATATCTAAATCGACTGCTGGCGGTAGATCCTTTTCCTATTTAGCACCAAAACTCTGGAACAGTCTAAAGACTTAAGAGTTTTCTGTTAAAACGGTGTCGTGTTAGCGGCCCCTAAGTTATTAACTAATGATCGTTGCGACGGAAGAGAATCAATCAAAACTAACTTTAGCTGGAAAATAACTTTATTCTACAACTGTCATAAAGCCAAAACAATCTCTGTCACTTTAATTTCCTATAATCACTGTAAAGCAGCGTTTGGAACAATCTACATTGTTAAAAGCGCTATATAAATGAAGATGACTTGACTTGACTAATGTGGTGGAAAGTGAGAACCAGTATTGACTACCAATTTGTTTGAATTTATTATTATAATTTTTTTAAACAGTTAAATTTAGAAGTGCGCATAACCTGTCCTCCTCATCATGACAAATTTATTATTTTTAGTTTATTGTGATAACATAAGTCTACATGATATCTCCAGATGTGCATGACTGAACAGGAGACCCCCCCCCCCCCCCCCCCCCCCCCCCCCCCCCAGCTGTGCACGCGCGAGGCTCGTGCGTGTGGTGTCATGGCGTCCGGAGAGGAGGACGGGTCTGTCGAGGAGAAACAAACCAACAACAAGAAGCGGATAAAAGGCACAATCGCCACGGCATGGCTCACCTTCTACAACATCGCCATGACAGCCGGGTAACAGATCAGTCTGAGCTTCTTTACTCGCTGAACACACTCCTGTGTGTCTGAACACACTCCTGTGTCTGTTTAGTTTCGCCGCATTGTAAATCACTCGACTGGTTGTTACTTAAAGCTACTTTTAAAGCTCTAAGAGAGACTATTGGGTTACACTGTCATTGTTACAGTGTAATTATATATTTAAGTACTGAGTAATAGTAATTAACTACATGTACTTACTCTAGGGTTAGGGTAGGATTAGGATTTGGTTGAGGGTTAGTTGCATGTAATTATGCATTATTTACTGTTATTACTATGGTAAGTACATGTAACATATGTAACACGGACACTGTAAAGTAAAGTGTAACCGAGTGTTGCATTAAACCCGCAGTGTGTGCCACTGTTGGTGTGTTCTACAGTGGTCAGCTGCTGGTTATACTGGGATATTCCTCTCAGAAACCGAAGCTCAGTGTTTCCTAATACGGATCCGCGCGTCACCGCGATATGTTTAGAACTCGCTCGACTGGCGAAATTCAACAAAGAAGAATAAAATGCACGATAATAATCATGAGACTGTTATTCACTTCAGCGCGACTAAACTTCTCGATTCCTGTGAAAAACAATGCGCCTAATTCTATTGGGTAACACTTTACAATAAGGTTCATTCGTTATCATTATTTAATGTATGGACTAACATGAACTAACAATGAGCGTTACATTTGTTACAGTATTTATTAATCTTTGTTAATGTTATTTAAACAAATATACAGCTGTTCATTGTTTGTTCATGCTAGTTCACAGTGTGTTAACTAATGCAACCTTTGATTTTAATAATGTATTAATACATGTTGAAATTAATATTAACTATGCTGAAGAAGTATTGTTCATTCTTAGTACATGTGAACTAAGGTTGTTAACTAATGAACCTTTTACACGTTACATTACTGTAGCACTAACTATAAATTATGCATAATTACATGCAACTAACCCTAAACCAACCCCTAACCCTAGAGTAAGTAATGTATTAATTATTATTACTCAGTACTTACATGTATAATTACACTGTAACACGGACTCCTTTAAATAAAGTGTTGCCTTGTACTGAATAGTATGTCCTTGTAGTACAATTTTTAAAATATTTTTTCTGTGAAAAAAAAAGGCTATCAATGATAAACTAAAATGTACGCTACCTAATGAAAATACACTTACTTTCTCCTTTATAAAGTTTACTTTGTACTTAAGCATGATGAAAAATGATTAAAATACAATGATTTAAAATTTAATTTGACATTAGTACAGTTATTGTGATGTTTGACTAACATACTTAAGCACATGCAGCCTGATTATAATCATAACTATTATTCAGTATTACATTTAAAATTAATGTAATTTTTAATGTACTTCACCATTACAAATGTGCAATAAATATATTTTATTACATGACATACAAGTTTCAGCAGAAATTACATTAAAGGGTCATTCCATGTCAAATCAACCAAGGTTAACAAAAATCCCTGAAGAAAGACGAACATAAATAGTGATGAAAGCCAAAAAAATAAATGTCACGAATGTATATTGACTGAGTAATCCACTGTTTGGTCAAGGGGGTGAAAATTACAAATTTGGGATTTGGAGCCAAATTACAGGGGGGTAAAACAGACTTTAGAAAGATGACAGCATCATCATGTTATTGTCACACAGAGATAAGTAGATCTATTAGTCAAATCTGTTGACTTTAGCAATATTTGTTGCATTATATGCCAACGGTGACGGTTCAAAAATGGGAAATAGCACTTCTTGTGTTTTTTTCCCCAGGTTTGCATGCCTGTAACTCAAGAAGTATTAAAGATATCTCAATATCCTTTCAGATTCTGGTTCCTAAAAAGTTTTCTTTTGCTCTCTTCATTTTAAAGGCTCTGTATGGTTCAACGCCAGAGATGTGGAGATCTAAATGTGGCTCTGTGAGGAAATTGTTCAATTGTACACATTTTCAGTGGTCAAAAACCAGATGTAGGTCACTTTGCACACAGCTGATGCTTTTTTTTATTTAAAGGGAAGAATAAATAATGTGGAAATTAGAAATGCCAAAACTATGGCATACAACACACCTCTCTGAGTGCCAAAAATACACAGAAATGGTCAAGTTGAGGCACATTAACTTGATCTCAAAAGTGTATTTATATTTTCTGTGTGCAAAGTAAACTACATCTGGTTTTTGACCGCTGAAAATGTGTACAATTGACCAATTTCCTCACAGAGCCACATTTAGATCTCCACATCTCTGCCGTTGAACCATACAGAGCCTTTAAAATGAAGAGAGCAAAAGAAAACTTAAGTTTTTTTGTTTTTTTTTGTTAAATGATTTGCCCAAACATATGCTAGTGCTCCCTCTCTTTAATATAAACGCCACTTAGTTTGATATTTTATCTCCTACGCAATGAGTTAAATGCATGTAAGTGTGGCTTAAGTGATTACATACTTTTTTACTCTGTATCTTTAATTAAATATCTATTATTTGTCTTAGAAAACTAGACAAGCCCTTATATAGTGCTCTTTTTCCATTGTTCGACATTTTGTAATCATTTCCAAAATCATAGTGGAGAATATCTAGTGCAGTCCCATAATGCATTGCAATGAGAAGTGCACAACCCATGTGCTCTCAACAACTATATAATGCCCATAATGCACTGTGAGTGTCACGTTTGGTGACTAGTTGAGTTTGCCGGTTAACTGAACGTCACTTCTATAGACGGTGTGTGTGGTCTTTGATTGCAGGTGGCTTGTGCTGGCTGTTTCCATGGTCCGCTTTTACCTTCAGAAAGGAACCCATAAAGGCTTGTACAAACATATAGCAAGGACACTAAAATGTTTCCAGACATTTGCACTATTGGAGGTAAGATCAAATGCCTTCAACCACCATGATATGTGATATAAACCTTTACTTTATTCTATTTTCCAGTGTTACAGTATCTTTTTGTCTATTAGTTAATCAACACCATCTCAAAGAAAGACAAAACCCTTCTCCTGTGAAAAAACCTTCTCTGAACCCATTTCTTACCGTTTTACTATTTGCATTAACAATTTCTGAATGAGGTATTCTCAGGAAACAGTGCAATACGTGCCCTCTTTTTTTTAAATAACTTAATTTGAAAAAGTTTCCTCTTGCTCAAAGTCTTCCGTGTCCACAATAGAAGTAAACCAGTTTTTGAGTGGCAAATTCTATTGGCCCGAATCATCTGCATGTCAAACTGTCTTACAGTAATCTTTCCAAATCATCACTCGCCCTGTTTTATTAAGGGAGATTTTCAAACAGCACTTTTGCGCCCTTTCACTGCAAACATTGTCTAATTATCTAAACTCACTGGAAAACAAAACTGAAAATTGTCATCGTATTAGTGGTTAGAGGTACTGTCCTTCCAACAAACAGAACAACAGTGGTCCCAAAATCGAGCCTTGAGGAACGCCATATAAAAACGTATATAGGGAAAAGAACAGTGGTCCCAAAAGCGAGCCTTGAGGAACGCCATATAAAAACATATTTAGGGAAAAGAACAGTGGTCCCAAAATCGAGCCTTGAGGACGCCATATAAAAACGTATATAGGGAAAACAACAGTGGTCCCAAAATCGAGCCTTGAGGAACGCCATATAAAAACGTATATAGGGAAAACAACAGTGGTCCCAAAAGCGAGCCTTGAGGAACGCCATATAAAAACGTATATAGGGAAAACAACAGTGGTCCCAAAATCGAGCCCTGAGGAACGCCATATAAAAACAAATATAGGGAAAACAACAGTGGTCCCAAAAGCGAGCCTTGAGGAACGCCATATAAAAACATATATGGGGAAAACAACAGTGGTCCCAAAATCGAGCCTTGAGGAACGCCATATAAAAACGTATATAGGGAAAACAACAGTGGTCCCAAAATCGAGCCCTGAGGAACGCCATTTAAAAACGTATATAGGGAAAACAACAGTGGTCCCAAAAGCGAGCCTTGTGGAACGCCATATGGAACGCCATATAAAAACATATATAGGGAAAACAACAGTGGTCCCAAAATCGAGCCCTGAGGAACGCCATATAAAAACGTATATAGGGAAAACAACAGTGGTCCCAAAAGCGAGCCTTGAGGAACGCCATATAAAAACATATATAGGGAAAACAACAGTGGTCCCAAAAGCGAGCCTTGAGGAACGCCATATAAAAACTTATATAGGGAAAACAACAGTGGTCCCAAAATCGAGCCCTGAGGAACGCCATATAAAAACGTATGTAGGGAAAACAATAGTGGTCCCAAAATCGAGCCCTGAGGATTGCCATATAAAAACGTATATAGGGAAAACAACAGTGGTCCCAAAAGCGAGCCTTGAGGAACGCCATATAAAAACATATTTAGGGAAAACAACAATGGTCCCAAAATCGAGCCTTGAGGAACGCCATATAAAAACGTATATAGGGAAAACAACAGTGGTCCCAAAAGCTAGCCTTGAGGAACGCCATATAAAAACGTATATAGGGAAAACAACAGTGGTCCCAAAATCGAGCCTTGAGGAACGCCATATAAAAACATATATAGGGAAAACAACAGTGGTCCCAAAATCGAGCCCTGAGGAACGCCATATAAAAACATATATAGCGAAAACAACAGTGGTCCCAAAATCGAGCCTTGAGGAACGCCATATAAAAACATATATAGCGAAAACAACAGTGGTCCCAAAATCGAGCCTTGAGGAACGCCATATAAAAACATATATAGGGAAAACAACAGTGGTCCCAAAATCGAGCCCTAAGGAACGCCATATAAAAACATATATAGCGAAAACAACAGTGGTCCCAAAAGCGAGCCTTGAGGAACGCCATATAAAAATATATATAGGGAAAACAACAGTGGTCCCAAAATCGAGCCCTGAGGAACGCCATATAAAAACATATATAGGGAAAACAACAGTGGTCCCAAAATCGAGCCCTGAGGAACGCCATATAAAAACGTATGTAGGGAAAACAATAGTGGTCCCAAAATCGAGCCCTGAGGAACGCCATATAAAAACGTATATAGGGAAAACAACAGTGGTCCCAAAAGCGAGCCTTGAGGAACGCCATATAAAAACATATTTAGGGAAAACAACAGTGGTCCCAAAATCGAGCCTTGAGGAACGCCATATAAAAACATATTTAGGGAAAACAACAGTGGTCCCAAAATCGAGCCTTGAGGAACGCCATATAAAAACGTATATAGGGAAAACAACAGTGGTCCCAAAAGCGAGCCTTGAGGAACGCCACAAACTAAAGTGGACGATTTGGAGGAAAAGTTTCCTATATTGCCAATAAAATGTCCTTTAGATAGAGTCAAACCACTACTCGATGTTCCAAACAAAAGTGAGCGACTAAATCACAAAGGGCCAATCCACAAGGCTAGGGTCACTTCATAGAAGTTATTTCACGATTCATTTTGATAACTGAGTGAAAATGGTGATTTATTTAAGTATCTTACAAGTTTCTGGGATTTAAACTCATTTAAAACCAACTATAATTATTGTATTTTTTTAATAATAAATGTATTTACCAAGAGATACACAAACAAATTAAATAATAAGCATTTTTATTTTATTTTATTATTGCTACAACAATCAGTAACACTTCAAAATACTGATCCGTCATTAATAGGTAAATATGCAGGACTAATGACTAGTGCTACATTTACACTTCAGCTTCACTAATATGGAAACATGATTAACTAATCGGTATGTAATATCACATTTATGACTGAGGTACTTACTAGGTAATCAATAATTACTGAATGTGATTAGCCTCATTAATTATCTACTATAGCGGTCGACCGATATATCACCAGGGTCAATATATCGACTGATATATGGCATTTTTAAAATACTTTACAAGTTGCCATCTGAAGTACAAGTGTTTATTTTACAGTTTTATGTTTAAATCATTTTCAAATTTGTGTTGCTTTTTTTTCAATGATGTTCAACAATTCATGGGACTGGGTAAAAAAGAAACCAGTTTTTTAGCATGCTTATATCTATGTTCTGATCTATCTGCATTTCTTTTTCTTACGCTTTGGCTATTTTTATTTCAGATCGGACACTGTGCTATTGGTATGTACAATATTTTAAAGTGCAATGCTAACATATTTGCTTCTAGGTATATAAAGATATTTTTCAGGTGTTGTTTTTGGTGTGTTAAAGGAATTGTGCGGACATCTGTAATTGTGACTGGGGTCCAAGTGTGTTCTCGGATATTCATGGTCTGGTTTATTGCAAACAGCATCAGACAGGTCGGTGTGCATGAGGAGGACTTTAACTAATAATGTTCCCAATGGGAATTATGGGACATTTTCACTGTTCGCCAATTTCTAAATGGGCTGTTGAATTTTAAATATTATTTTCTTTCGTTTGAAACGCATACTAAGATTCAGAACGAGGAGAGTGTGATCTTGTTCGTAGTGGTGTGGACGGTTACAGAGATCACTCGCTACTCTTTCTACACTTTCAACCTGATCCACCATCTGCCGTACTTCATCAAGTGGGCCAGGTACTCGCGACTCTGCACGGTGTGGTTTATGGAGCATGCTGATACTCACAAGCACATGCTGTAGAGCTACAGGTACGCAGGTTGCTAGGATTGTTCTGCTTCCTGACATTTGATTTACGCGTGTTGGTAATAGTAGCGATTTGAAAACACATGGTGTGCTACTTGCTTTATACTCACTAGCGAAATGGTGTACCTCGTGAAGTTACTCTCACCTCTAGGGCTGCAGCTATCGATTCTTTTTGTAATCGGTTAATCTAGCACTTAATCGATCGATTAATCGAGTAATCGGATAAAAAAATTGTTGTGTTTTTAAACAACCAAAACAAAAAATGCATAACGAAAATGATGTGGCTGTAAAATGATCAAGCATTTGGCTTTTATTGATCAAAAAAAATAAAAAAAACCTGGTATTTATTCCAACTCCAACATTTGGCTCCAAAACTAAGCCTATTTATTGAAATTTTTACCCATTTAGTATAAGTGACAACAATGTTCTATGCTCAATTACTTTGGTAGCCGATTCAAATGTCTTCCCCAAAAGTACGAGTGGATTTGGAGAAGCAGGCTGGGGAATTTCATTTTTTGTTGTTGTCTGTAACTATTTGGAAGACGTGACATACAAACAAGGTCTCGCAAAGACTGCAATACAATATTTGTTCCTCCGTCACGTCTCGGTGTATACAGTGAATGCATGCTGAAATTATTGTTGCGTGGCTACAAAGTTTAGTGATGCATTGCCGCAATTGATCTGACTGGCGCGTGAGAGAGACGAGGGTGCATGCGTGTGTGAAGGGGTTCTTTTTTTAGGCTATCTCTCTTGCAATTGAACGTGAATACGTTTACTACTTAAAAGCATCAAAGCTAAACATTAGGGCTGGGTATCGATTCAGATGTTCAAATTCGATTCGATTTCGATTCACAAGCTCACAGTTCGATTCGATTTCGATTCTCGATTCGATTCTCGATTCGACTATAATGATTATAGATGTAATACAAATCTCAGTCTAAATATCAGTTATCATTTTTTAGACAATTTTTTATTACATTGATCTCACCTAAATGTTTGTTTTTACAATGGGGTAATTTTTTTTAAGAGTTTATGCAACACATGGAAGCTTGATTTCAATCTTTGAATTAAATTGAAAAAAGTAGCACAAATAAATACAATAGAATAGGCCTAAAGACACAAATAAAGAGACATAAAAAGAAAAGTTTTTGTCAGAAATACTACAGAAACTGAATAAAGTAATCCAATGTAAAATAACACTGCATAGTCTTTTAGTCCTGACTGAATTAAATACATAGGCTATTAATTCTGATTCCTTACAATTATTGCTATATTATGTTGTTTTGACAACAAAATTAATGACAGACACATATGGCTGCGTTCACTTTAAGAACTAGTGCACGGATCCATTACTGTTTCATTATAACGTTACTGCCTGTCACACGCGTTTTATGCTTATTTAAGACATAACCGACTGTCTTTACAAGGTTACTCACCAAGACCAGAGTTTTGACATCATTTTGCGTGTTTTTAACTGTTAAAGCGATATAATCCACGAAAAAGAACGTTTGTTACTGGCGAGCTGTTTGTGAGGCGGATTTAGGCTGTATGTGCACGCAGTGAAAAACATGCGCGAGTGCGCGAGCACAGGATAGTTTAAAATTGCTTGAATGTTTAAACTGGTAAAACTTAAAAAAGACGTGAAAATGATAAACGTTAGTTACGATGCAATGCTGGCCCGATTGTGCAAGTGAATCATGTCCCGACTCCTAAACACGAGTGTGTATCGACGCCTGCAGCGCTTGACGCTTGCCGTGTGCAGAGTGAGAAGACGCAGCACGCGAGCCCTGAATATGGAAAAAATCGATTCGTGGCCGTTGAGAATCGATTTTGAATCGACCACATTTTAAAAAACGATTAATCGAAAAATCGATTTTTTTGCCCAGCCCTATTAAACATCATATCTAGTCAAACCGCATCACGACATCGCAACAAATACAGTATGGGATTAAAATCAGCGAACATCAATGTATCATAGGCTTATGGTGTGTTCACACCGAATGCGAGTAGATTACATACCAAGTCAATGCAAAGACGCGAATAGACGCATCATTCGCCGGGTGTCGCGACTGACGCGAATTGGGCGACGCGTTTGCCGCGAACGTCTTCCGCGCAGGTTGAAAAATTTGAACTCGAGCGAATGTTCAAGCGTCTAACTAGACGCGATAAACACGTATTTGACGCTCTATCCGCGTTCGGTGTGAACACCATTAGGTTTCAGCGACACTGGTGAGACAGCATGGAGTGGATGTGTTCGGTTCAGATTCTGAATCATTGCAGTCGTACTGTTGTGGTATGCCCATGCCAGGTCTACTTTGCAGTAGACACATTGCACCTTGTTCTCTTCCTTTTTAAGTATGTATAATGATCCCAAACTTTAGACATTCTCTGCCGTTTATGGACATCTTTACTCTCCGCCATTGCGCCCGCCAACTAAATTCAAAATGTATCACGCGCTATAGTATAGATCCCTGCGCGTATATTGCAGGTCATAGGAGTTTAACGAGGCTTCGAGGCAGAGTTTTTGCCTCGAGGAATTTTTGTAATCGAGTTAATCGAGTAACTCGATGAATCGTTTCAGCCCTACTCACCTCCTGTTGCTTGACTATGTCATGATTCTGCCATCATGTTATTGATTATTCCTAGTCTTGTGGCAGGATCATGACAGAACCAATGTTTTGTGTACAAGCGCATAGCCAATTGTTTGGCCATGTGCTTGTGTGGTCTCGTCTTGTAACCCCGCCCCCTTGTTATCCGTGTTTAGTCATTATTGCCTTGTTAGCGTCACCTGTTCCCCTCGTTAGTTTCTTGCTATTTAATCCCCTTGTGTTTGCTGTCTTGTGTCGGTTCATTGCTTAATCTATGCTGAATGTTGTCAAATCTGTCTATGTGTCTATACCTTGCCATTTCTTACCCGTGAGCCGTGAGTACCTAGTGTAGAGTCTTGTTTTTGTGTACGTTTATTTGAAGTATTGTCAGTTTATTGTACAGTCATTGTCTAGTCTAGTCTGCCATCCATTCCTTGTCCTAGTCGTGTTTTGCCCCCTCGTGGGTTTTGTTTTCCTGTTTTGTTCCAATAAACCCCCTGTTCGTTGCACTCTGTCTGTTTTGGGTTCATCTTCTTTCGTCCATGTAACAGACTACTTCTTTCTAATAAGTGCTATAAAACACACTGTATAAACAGCGCGAGCTGGCGTAGGTCACGCCTCACTAGCGAAACTGTTTACCTCGTGACTAAACGTGAACAAACGAGACTTCACCAACGAGATTTCAGCTCGTGAGCAGAGTTACTGTCACCTCCTGTTGCTTGACTGCTACTTCCTACTAAATAGTGGGCGAAAAACCGCGTGGCAAAAGAAGTGTGTTTAAATTCACAGTACTCGTAAAACAGTCTCTGGATGACCTACTATTTCCGGTGAGATTCTGAAGTGTTCATCCGACGGACACTTTTCTATCCCATGAGGCCACGGGAGAGGATTTATGAACGACAGTGAAGCGACGCGACTGTAACAACATGGCGGATGTAAAACCTCCTCAACTCCCCAGATGTGGCCCGGATCTGGGCCGACACTATGTTACTGTCTGGGCAGCCTTCCATCTCACTTGCCAGACTGATCTCAAAAAAATACCGCTCCCCAGATGTACATCTACATTTTGCTTCGTTTCGCACGGACATTTAACGGCGTGTACATACACGCAAAAGATGACGGTTCGTTTCGGCGTGGACACACACGCGGATAGCTCAAAATGCGTATAGATAACACGCCACTTGACTTGAAAGTGGCGTGTATGTTTACGCAAAAGTCATGATGTCATGTTGCACTTGCACAAAAACACATTCAGTATTCCTTAAAATAAATAAAAAAGTAAAATGCAACCTCAGAAAATTATGCAAACATGCAGTAATTAAATATCTTAAATAATACAAATATACTTTATGTATTTAATCTCACTTTATTAGCCAGTGTTTTTGCTGCTGACCTTTTATGATCCAATTCAACCAAAGGATTAAGCAAACATGACTTTAGAATAGATAAACATCACATTTGTTTCAATTTGTTGTTTTTATTGCTGAAGTAAGAGTGTTTAACTTTCTTCTTCTGCGATCCAGAACAGCAGCACAGCTGAAAGGTGTGTTTGAGCGTACAAAATCTGCATTTGCTTCGCCACATTCGCCAAAAATAAAACATTTTTTTCTTTTTTTGTTACTGAAAAACAAGCAAGCCCAGCCCAGGTCAGGAAAAAAGTAGTTAATTTTCATAAAAAGTAAGTAAGGTAAGCAAGTAGGTACTTTTTAGGGAGTTATGCAATATTGTAACAGATTACTTTTAAAAGTAACTCTCCCCAACACTGTTAATTCTCCAAAGCAGTGGTTACCCTGATCCTGGAGGTCTATAGTTTCGAAACACTGCTCTGGAGACCTCTGCGAATCATTTTTTTGTAAACCAGTGATTCTGAGCGAGTATCAAACTGCCAAAGTCATGTGATTTCAGGCTTTGTTACGTCAATGGACCAGGACCAGCCAATATGCACGTGTCTCGCAATATTAATAACTTTCCCCAACACTGAGTTACATAGTAATTGTTGATGTGTGTGTTTGTGCGGTTATAATGTGTGATGATGTCGCATTTATATCTCCTATTTCCCTCAGGTATAACCTGTTTATTGTCATGTACCCCCTGGGAGTCGTTGGTGAACTGCTGACCATACACGCTGCCTTACCGTATGTCCGGAGATCAGGCATGTTCTCCCTCAGGCTTCCCAACAAATACAACGTGTCCTTCGACTATTACTACTTCCTGATCATCGTCATGCTGTCCTACATCCCATGTAAGAACAGTAATCTGCTACACTATATATCTGTCTATCTATCCTTATTTAAGATGCCATTCTATCTAAAATTTCTAATTTATCTATCATGCTAGCCATGTGCTAATTAATGCTAGCTACGTGCTAAAACATGCTAGCAAACTGTTAAAACATAATAGCAATGTGCTAATTCATGTTAGCAATGTTAAAACTTGCTAATTCATCCTAGCAACTTGCGAAACATGTTAGCAACATGTTCATTAATCCTAACAACACACAGGTTAGCAAAACATAATTCATGCTAGTAGCTAACATGCCAAAACATTCTAGCCAACTGATAAAACATACTAGCAACGTGTTAATTCATACTAGCAACATGTTAAAACATGTTAATTCATGTTAGCGATGTTAAAACATGCTAATTCATGCTAGCAACATGCTATGTAAATTACAGTATCTCTGTTATGATTGCTGTCTGCAATGATTTGATTTTAGTGTAGATAAACTTGTGGGATGGTGTTAAAGCTTTAGAAGCCAAGGCTGATTTTCTAAGAAGATTTTACGTTACCAATGTGCTAAAACATGCTAGCAAACTGTTAAAACATACTTTGTTAGTTCATGTTAGCAATGTGCTAATTCATGTTAGCAATGTGTTAAAACATTGTAATTCAAGTTAGCAAAATGCTAAAATATGCTAGCAACATGCTAATTAATACTAAAAACCTGCTTAAACATGCTAGCAAAACATTCTTATTCATGCTAGCAATATGTTAAAACATGCTATAAATGTTAAAGCATCCTAGCAACATGATAATTAATGTTAACAACATGTTAATTCATGATAACAACATGTTAATTCATGATAACAACATGTTAATTCATGTTAACAAAATGCGAAAACATGCTAGAAATGTGTTAACTTGCAAAACATGATCATTCATGCTAGCAACATGTTAAAACATGCTGGAAATGTTAAAAAATGCAAGCAACATGATAATTAATGCTAACAACATGCTAATTCATGTTACCAACATGCTAATTCATGCTAGCAATGTGCTAATTCATGCTAGCAATGTCGTACTTTCCCTTTCCACTTGACTAAATTCAAAGCTTCTAAAACGTTCAAAGTTTAATACGGCTTTGTGAAGCCAACATAAAAGTGTGTCCCGATGAACTTCCCTCTCTAGTCAATGTTGTGTTTCTCTTCCAGTGTTTCCTCAGCTCTTCTTCCACATGCTGCGTCAGAGGAGGAGGGTTCTTCACGGAGAAGTCATAGTAGAGAAAGATGAGTAGAAGGAATCCCCAGCTAGCCGTCAGATATTTGAGAAAAGTTTATAATAAAACAATTAAATATGAATCAATTCTACTACTATTAGTTACGGTCGATATTCCCAGCAGAACCCGTCATTAAGGTTCGCCACTCTCCCAGTTGTGTTTCACTTCACAAGGACGGAATCACTTCATTCAACAAAGGAGATCTGAACCGAAGTACAAGGACGATGGAGAATCCTCGTCTGTTTCGAGAAAAAAGCATTGGATTGGAATCTGGCATTAATAACGGTTAGGGTTAGCATTAGCGTTAGCGTTAGGTATAATCTCTCCTGATCGGGACTGGGTTGTGGTGTGTGTAGTTGCTGGGTGAACCATTCCACACATTCTAGATCTCCACTTTGGCTTTTCTCATCCATGTTCTTGGACGGACAGATTAGAGATTAAAATAATGAATACTTCTTAACTTTATCCATCTGAAGGTGGTGTTATAGCAGACTTTTCAGTACAATAGCAAAACCTGTGGGACTGACAAAACAATGTATAAACTGTTGTTTTTTTATCACTTGGCTACTTTATTTCTCACAATGTCATACACACGCAATAGGTATTAAAAAAGCATGTAATTCAAATAAACATAAATGTATTAATATATGAAAGCATCGTCATTATCTAGATATCATGTTGAAGGTTATCAATTATCTTAAGTCTGAGAACTGATTCTTTAGAATTAATAGTTATTTTCACGAATGTTCTGAATATAACACCAGGTGTAATGTGATAAAAGCTCATCAACATGTTCAGGGTTTTGTCCAAACCTGAGACTGAACGCGACAGAACATTCGGTCCATCGATCGGTGTCTGTTTTTATCATGTTACTCTCATTAGTCCAAAATCCCAGTCATTTATATCATAAAGTGTGACTTTTGTCCCAATATTCAAGCAGTTTGGCCTTTAGTTTGGACAGAAAATGACTTGCTATGTTGGGATACAGCTAGTATGCGCTATGATTATCTGTTGCTTCGGTGTTTACAATCCACACTAGAGTAAATAAACTGGGAGAGTTTGTCCAGGCGTGCTCTAGGAAACCAGCAGCTCGTGTTCGGCTCATCGAGACTCTCTGTTGCTAAAGCTTTAGCTCTTTTGGCTCTCAGACCTTCTGTGTTGGTGTTTTTATTTATAATGTTTTGTTTTTCTGTAAGAAACTTGAGTTCACAGCTCTTCTGAGTAGATTCTCTCTACGGTGCTTCATTGTTTTCCTCTTCTGTGCAGCTGAGGAGAGAGAGGACATGCTGTGACATCATTAGATAGAATTGTGAAGAACATTTTCATGTGATTTAATTCAATACCTGGTAATTGTACTGATTGAATAAAGGTCTTTGAAGAAAGAATAAAAAGAACTATGACTATATGTACTCGAGCATTAGTATTGCTCTCGTTGAGAAGTGTTTATACTGCAAAAGAATAGTTTAGGGGAAAAAATAAAAGCTTTATTTGTTAAGTTCATAATATTGAGAGCAAAGGTCAAATGTAGAAAGACATCATCAGACATTATTAGACAGTAATTTGCATCTGTGATAAAACTTTGGGCTTCACAGGAACTGAGAGAGTTGTTGGCTATACACATACGCATGTCTAGAGACGTATTTTTAAAAAGTAGAAAGCCGCGTCACACACGATGCTCTGCAAAAGCATTAAAAAGATGGAAAAGTAGCGCAATGGAATAAAAAAAAACACATTCTGTGCATTTAATTGCCCCTTTCCACCCAATTAGAGTTGCATTCATTGCTATAGTTTCATTAGGCTTCCATCGCGTTTTCTTTCCAAATTATCACTGGACTTAAAATAAAATGTTAGCATTTTATTTGAAGTGAAAATAAGATAACAATGGTCTTGTCATGGAGAGGTGTGTTATAAAATGTCATAAATATAGTTAAACCCATCTATCTATGTATCTACTGTATACCCATAAAAAGCCCACCCAGTGTTTCCTCCCTCCCTCCCGTAGAGGCCTGGAAACAAGGAACAGGTGTGAACAATCAATCACTGTGGAAACTAATGAGGGTAACTATGGAAACAGTCAAGGCAGCTACTCAAACTGGAGCTAAACACAGGAACTTAAAAAAGGCTGAATCTGAAAATATTATACCCTCAAATAGGGCCATTTGTAGCCATAGTGGACATTATCGAGTGCACTCATTCAATCCCATAATGCACTGCACCAACGAGTGAACAACTGATGTACGCTCACAGCTAAATCAGGGAACGCCACAGTTCTCTCTCCCTCCATCATTGTTTGCTGATTAACTAAAGTAAAACCAGATCCAAAAGCACGGACATCCACAGCAAAACACTGTTGCCCAAGTTGGGTGCTCAACAAAAAAATTATATATAAAAAAGGAAAAAAAGTCGGCACACCTTGGCTCCAAAAACGTGAAAAATTGAATAGACATTTCGAGCACGTGGGCTCTTCGTCAGACTGATTAACTAAAGTAAAATTATTTCACAATCAAGAGGATAACGAATAATTTATGCATGAATAAAAATGCAAAATTTTAGCCAATTTTTATCCCAAATACACTGTAATTTTCAGCTTATTAGAGAAAGAAGAAGTTTTATTTATATCCTCAAGATCGATGAATTTCTATTTATTTTTTTAGGATAAACCCCTTGAGATGATGTACCATCTCGTTCTCGAGGGATCCCAGGGGAAACATCCGTACATATTTAAACAAAACAAAACACCAATTAGATATATTAGATTATGAAACTGTCTGTACTAATAAGAGGTCGGATTATTACTTTGCACAAAACCTTCCATTAAGACAATTTAAGCGTTGCATGAAACACCATATGTGATGATATGCGCGCGCCAGAGCATCTGAAGCAGTCTGACACGCGCATGCGCGCGCTTGAGAGCATCGCGCGCACAGAACGAGAGCCGTGTGTTCGTCTTTTCTGAAACACACATGGTGAAAAGGTGAGTTTCATTATTTTGTTGTAATTATATGTAGGCTACGTGTGCATTATTGCGTATTGTGAGGCAAATCGGTATTAATATGATATGAGATACTGCATATGCTGCTCGTATGATTTATGTCGCGCAAACAGCATTCCAAATACAAATATAATACACAGAAACGTGTATTTAATCCAATGTCAGTCAGTGTGTAAATATAATCATGATTCAATAAATAAATTGAAATCCATTATGAATAATGAAATGTTCATAATGAAAGATGAAAAATATGATGCAGCTGATTTGACTAATTAAACATATTATGTGCATGACATTCCTTTTTCTAGGCATTTGGCATTAATTGATCAATACTACAAAAAAAACGTAATAAACCGTTTCTAAATGATGATTATAATACTACTAAAGGAACGGCTGGATGTAAACAGCATCTGTTGATCTCAGGTGTTGTGTTGTAATTGTTCTCTCGGGATATGAGTGTTTGCTGTGTGTCTCCTGTGTGTTGTGGCATTCGGGCCTCTTACACCTGAGGGCTGATTCAATTAATTAAGTATGATTAAGCGTTACAAGTGTTGAATGTGTTGCACAGCTCCTCTTCTCTCCTGTGGGAACGCATCTGGTGAGCGGAAAGTTGTGCAGCTGATGGGCTCTGAACTGGTGGAGATGGGGAAGAACACTGAACACACCAGTGGAGCGCAGGACCCCGACGGCTCCACACACACCCCGTCCCGAACCCTGGACTCGCCACACACTCCGTCCCGAACCCTGGACTCGCCACACACTCCGGCGAACGCCTGCTGCTTCTGCTGGTGCTGTTGCTGCAGCTGCTCCTGGTGAGGAACACTCGTCTTTAAAGGGATCGATCACCCAAAAAGGAAATTAGCCCATGATTTACTCTCCCTCAAGCCATCCTAGTGTATATGACTTTCTTCTTTCAGACGAATACAATCTGAGTTATATAAAAAAATGTCCTGGCTCTTCCAAGCTTTATAATGGCAGTGGATGGATGTATATTTTTATTTATATCCATCCAGATGCACTTTTATGATGGATAGATGCACTTTTATGATGGATAGATGCACTTTTATGATGGATAGATACACTTTTATGATGGATAGATGCACTTTTATGATGGATAGATGCACTTTTATGATGGATAGATGCACTTTTATGATGGATAGATGCACTTTTATGATGGATAGATGCACTTTATGATGGATAGATGCACTTTTATGATGGATAGATGCACTTTTATGATGGATAGATACACTTTTATGATGGATAGATACACTTTTATGATGGATAGATGCACTTTTATGATGGATAGATGCACTTTTATGATGGACAGATGCACTTTTATGATGGATAGATGCACTTTTATGATGGACAGATGCACTTTTAATGATGGATAGATGCACTTTTATGATGGATAGATGCACTTTTATGATGGATAGATGCACTTTTATGATGGATAGATGCACTTTTATGATGGATAGATACACTTTTATGATGGATAGATGCACTTTTATGATGGATAGATGCACTTTTATGATGGATAGATGCACTTTTATGATGGATAGATGCACTTTTATGATGGATAGATGCACTTTTATGATGGATAGATGCACTTTTATGATGGATAGATACACTTTTATGATGGATAGATGCACTTTTATGATGGATAGATGCACTTTTATGATGGATAGATGCACTTTTATGATGGATAGATGCACTTTTATGATGGACAGATGTACTTTTATGATGGATGGATGCACTTTTATGATGGACAGATGCACTTTTATGATGGATAGATGCACTTTTATGATGGATAGATGCACTTTTATGATGGATAGATGCACTTTTATGATGGATGGATGCACTTTTATGATGAATAGATGTTTTATTTTTTATAAAAAAATAGATTTTTTATTATAACTCTGATTGTATTCGTCTGAAAGAAGAAAGTCATATACACCTAGGATGACTTGAGGGAGAGTAAATAATGGGCTAATTTTCATTTTTGGGTGAACGATCCCTTTAATCTCCAACGCGCGTTCATGGGAAAACCAGGACACATGCGTGTTGACGCAAGAGCAGACATTGTTTTGTGAACGTGCGTTGGAGATTAATATTTTGTAAAACATTGTTTTTACAACTTTAGGTAAACTTTGATATAATACATATTCTTTTTACAATTCAGGTAAAAAAAAAATTTCCAGCGCATTTTAAGTGAACTAAAGAGTAAGTCTAGTGTGGTTGAGATATTTCACTGTGTGCTAGAAAACTTCATTAAGGCTAATGTAGACTGAGCTTAGAAGTGCATCTCGTATTCATTAGGAGCCTCTCCGGAGACATTCAGGCGTCACAGAAAACATGTTTTTATAATGTGTGTGTATGTGTGTGTGTGTGTGTAGTCTGACAGTACGCTCTGCTAAGGAGGAAAGAACTATGACGACGATCTCAGAAGAACAAGAGGAGGCTGATACCGAACAGATGTGAGTTGTGTTATAAGTTAAAAAAAAATTATATTGCAAAAGTAGTCGCTTTTAAGAACATCCCTCTTGGGAATTTTAAAGGGGTCATGACATGCCTTTTTATTTCTTTAATGTTCCTTGAGGTTTATTTATAATGTTAATAAAGTTTGTTTTGATCAAACAAATTTATATTGAACATTTCAACCCTCATTTTGCCTAGTGGTTGGAAATTTGATTAATCCCAGTTACGGGAGTCTCTTGAATGACAACACTGCAGATATACGAATGAGCTCGCTCGCTGCTTTCAGAACCCCTCCTCCCTCCCCAGCTCCACCTGTATAGATCTGTCTAGGTCATTCATGTACTCTATATTGTACAGCAGCAGATTTTGCCAGTAGAAAGTCCCATACTCTGCTCGGCCTGGCAAAATACCGTACTTGCAGTGTAGCAAATTTATTCTGCCAAGATGAAACATATCAACATTGTCATACCCATTACCATAACGCTCCAAGAGTGGTCATGACAGAACTAATTAAATTTTTAACTAAATCAGAACTATAGACAATCACAGTCCATCTTGACAAATAACACACAAGACCTTGTCTTTATTGGAGACAGTGTGAACATGCACTCTGGTGTTCGGCACTGTTACCAGGATGCAAAGTAGCAACAGTGATGAACAATCTGTACAGCTGTGGACCTTTAGAGAAACCTTTTCCAGCAGTTTACAGTGTTTAACAGTGCTTTTTATAGGGCAACACCTGAGCAACACCTCTAATCTCGGCTCATTAATTTGCCTTTAGAGAATCCATTAGCCTTTTTCCTCCCTGTGTGGTGAATGTTTACACTGTGTGTTCAATAAAGTCATGAACATGTATCGATAGTGTGTTATGTTCTAAAGCAGAGATGGTGTGTAAAGTTTTTCTAAATCCAAGGGGTCAGATTTATCTAAATCAGAAACAAGTAAAGAAGAAGCAGAACACGTAAAGAAGCAGAAACAAGTAAAGAAGCAGAAACAAGTAAAGAAGCAGAAACAAGTAAAGAAGAAGCAAAAACAAGTAAAGAAGCAGAAACAAGTAAAGAAGCAGAAACAAGTAAAGAAGCAGAAACAAGTAAAGAAGCAGAAACAAGTAAAGAAGCAGAAACAAGTAAAGAAGAAGCAGAACAAGTAAAGAAGAAGCAAAAACAAGTAAAGAAGCAGAAACAAGTAAAAAAGCAGAAGCAAGTAAAGAAACAGAAACAAGTAAAGAAGCAGAAACAAGTAAAGAAGCAGAAACAAGTAAAGAAGAAGTAGAACAAGTAAAGAAGAAGCAAAAACAAGTAAAGAAGCAGAAACAAGTAAAGAAGAAGCAGAACAAGTAAAGAAGCAGAAACAAGTAAAGAAGCAGAAACAAGTAAAGAAGCAGAAACAAGTAAAGAAGAAGTAGAATAAGTAAAGAAGCAAAAACAAGTAAAGAAGCAGAAACAAGTAAATCAGAAACTAGTAAAGAAGCAGAAACAAGTAAAGAAGCAGAAACAAGTAAAGAAGAAGCAGAAACAAGTAAAGAAGCAGAAACAAGTAAATCAGAAACTAGTAAAGAAGCAGAAACAAGTAAAGAAGAAGCAGAACAAGTAAAGAAGCAGAAACGAAGCAGAAACAAGTAAAGAAGCAGAAACAAGTAAAGAAGCAGAAACAAGTAAAGAAGCAGAAACAAGTAAAGAAGAAGCAGAAACAAGTAAAGAAGCAGAAACAAGTAAAGAAGCAGAACAAGTAAAGAAGCAGAAACAAGTAAAGAAGCAGAAACAAGTAAAGAAGAAGCAGAAACAAGTAAAGAAGCAGAAACGAGTAAAGAAGCAGAAACAAGTAAAGAAGCAGAAACAAGTAAAGAAGAAGTAGAATAAGTAAAGAAGCAAAAACAAGAAGCAGAAACAAGTAAATCAGAAACAAGTAAAGAAGCAGAAACAAGTAAAGAAGAAGCAGAAACAAGTAAAGAAGCAGAAACAAGTAAAGAAGAAGCAGAAACAAGTAAAGAAGCAGAAACAAGTAAAGAAGCAGAACAAGTAAAGAAGCAGAAACAAGTAAAGAAGCAGAACAAGTAAATCAGAAACAAGTAAAGAAGCAGAAACAAGTAAAGAAGCAGAACAAGTAAATCAGAAACAAGTAAAGAAGCAGAACAAGTAAATCAGAAACAAGTAAAGAAGCAGAAACAAGTAAAGAAGCAGAAACAAGTAAAGAAGCAGAAACAAGTAAAGAAGCAGAAACAAGTAAAGAAGAAGCAGAAACAAGTAAAGAAGCAGAAACAAGTAAAGAAGCAGAAACAAGTAAAGAAGCAGAAACAAGTAAAGAAGAAGCAGAAACAAGTAAAGAAGCAGAACAAGTAAATCAGAAACAAGTAAAGAAGCAGAAACAAGTAAAGAAGCAGAAACAAGTAAAGAAGAAGCAGAAACAAGTAAAGAAGCAGAAACAAGTAAATCAGAAACAAGTAAAGAAGCAGAAACAAGTAAAGAAGCAGAAACAAGTAAAGAAGAAGCAGAACAAGTAAAGAAGCAGAAACAAGTAAAGAAGAAGCAGAACAAGTAAAGAAGCAGAAACAAGTAAAGAAGAAGCAGAAACAAGTAAAGAAGCAGAAACAAGTAAAGAAGCAGAAACAAGTAAAGAAGCAGAAACAAGTAAAGAAGCAGAAACAAGTAAAGAAGAAGCAGAAACAAGTAAAGAAGCAGAAACAAGTAAAGAAGCAGAAACAAGTAAAGAAGAAGCAGAACAAGTAAAGAAGCAGAAACAAGTAAAGAAGAAGCAGAAACAAGTAAAGAAGCAGAAACAAGTAAAGAAGCAGAAACAAGTAAAGAAGCAGAAACAAGTAAAGAAGCAGAAACAAGTAAAGAAGAAGCAGAAACAAGTAAAGAAGCAGAAACAAGTAAAGAAGCAGAAACAAGTAAAGAAGCAGAAACAAGTAAAGAAGAAGCAGAAACAAGTAAAGAAGCAGAACAAGTAAATCAGAAACAAGTAAAGAAGCAGAAACAAGTAAAGAAGCAGAAACAAGTAAAGAAGAAGCAGAACAAGTAAAGAAGCAGAAACAAGTAAAGAAGCAGAAACAAGTAAAGAAGCAGAAACAAGTAAAGAAGAAGCAGAACAAGTAAAGAAGCAGAAACAAGTAAAGAAGAAGCAGAACAAGTAAATAAGCAGAAACAAGTAAAGAAGAAGCAGAACAAGTAAAGAAGCAGAAACAAGTAAAGAAGAAGCAGAACAAGTAAATAAGCAGAAACAAGTAAAGAAGCAGAAACAAGTAAAGAAGCAGAAACAAGTAACGAAGCAGAAACAAGTAAAGAAGCAGAAACAAGTAAAGAAGCAGAAACAAGTAAAGAAACAGAAACAGCAGGAAAATAACACGATCATCAAATATTCAACAGCGTATAAATAAAAACTACGTAACGTTACTGAATGAAGTGTCAAACCCAGGAAGGGTTAACGGCTGTGAAGCTGTGAGGTGTTGATGGACTCGATCGACTCCATCTGTGTTTGATCATCGCTCTGAATCCCATCCGGACGCAGTCCATGAAGCTAGAGTAAAATGTTTGTTTTATTGTTTAAAAGCAGAGGACCTGTTCTTTCTTTTTTATATATATATAGCATGTTCAGATATTCATACAACAAAGTATTCTGGGGGCCATGAAAGTTTTGTGAAAATGATAAAAAATGCTGGCGCTGGCTGGCAACTTATTAAAGAACACAGATGGGTAAAGAGTTAAAGATGTCCTGATGTCCCGTCTCCTCTAGGCCTCAGCTCACTCTGGAGGAGGTTCAGTTGTGGGGAGAGTCATTCGAGCGCTTAATGAAAAATCCTCAAGGTCGTTCGCACTTCCAACAGTTTCTCAAGTCTGAGTTTAGTGAAGAAAACCTGAAATTCTGGCTCATCTGTGAGGATCTAAAGAAAGAGACCAACAAAACCACGGTTGAACAGACTGTGAAACAAATATACGAGGACTACGTCTCTGTAATGTCACCTAAAGAGGTATATATGCTCATTTCAACATGATAACTATGTTCTGTGCTTTTGCTTATACTTTTGTTGTTAAACATGAATATCTAGAGCCGCGTTTCCGCCGAAATTACCCCGAACAATTTGTCCCAGGAACTTTTTTCCAGACCTGTTGCTGTCTGCGTTTCCACTGCGGTGTAAAGTACCGTGAAGATTAGGCAAATTAGTCCAGAGACGTAGGACTGCACTACTGTCCAGTTCCCGCTGGATTTCATCCTCTGAATTTAAGCTTAATAAAGCCTGAACCTCGTCATCGGTTGTATTTTTTAAACTCCATTGTTGATTCGAATAGCAAACAACTCAAGAGACTTTCGCACCGGAGGAACCTTTTCATCGTTCCTAGAACTATTGGCGGAAGTTTACGGATTTCGGCGTGTTCGCACCGCAGGAACTAGGAACGACTTTAGTTCTAGGAACTCCTTTTGGAGGAACTAATTTACTCCTACTTCAGAGTCGGTCTAAACCATCACTATAGGAACTACCAGTGACGTTAGTGTTCGCTGATTGGCCGAACGACAGAAACACCAGCACCCGCCATTTTAAAAAAAAAGCAGTGTAAACACACAGATTATAGCCTATATATTTACTCCAGAAACTAACTCTACGAACATGTAAAACAGTGATAGATGGACCTCTAAACCTTTACACTGAGGAGAAAATCCAACGCAACTTTGAGGGGATCAAGAGAAACATAATTATGTGTTTCTGCTCAGCTAGCGACACTGGATATCAATCACACGGCAAACACTAATAACTTTTTATATACTGTCTTTCTATGTATAACAGTTATAACTAATAACGTATTAGACAGGACTGTTAGACAGATTGTAAACTAATGAACACAGGGAATGTGAGCACTGTGAGCTCAGGTACTGGCGTTCTCAGCGCCGTCAAAATAAAAGTCACAACAACAACAACCGCGGCTTACGTTACTTCAGAGTTCCTACTGGCGGTGCGAACGCAACCAGGAAAACGTTCCTAAGGGAACCATTAGTTGTCGGGGAACCACCCTAGAACTACCCGTGCGAAAGCCCCTTCTTACTGCACCCATCGCAAAAGATTTTTAAAAATGGTGGTTGAAGTGAAAGAGTCATGAACTCAACCAATGCTTGTGTTCAGAGCCCAAGTCCCACCCCTGAAAGTTCCTGAACTTTGAAAAAGTAGTTCCCCACAAGCAGGGACTTTCTGAGGGGGAAATTCTTACCTGGAACTTCATTTAGACCCTAGTTCCCGGGGACAGTTCCTGCAGTGGAAACACGGCTCATGATTACCTGTGTTTGTGTATCCAGGTGAGTCTGGACTCGCGTGTGCGTGAAGTGATCCACAACAACATGCAGGAACCCTCCTCATGCACGTTTGACGAGGCTCAGCAGCAGATCTACATGCTCATGCAGAGAGACTCCTTCCCACGCTTCATGAACTCCAGCATGTATGCAGACCTCCTACAGAGCCTTCAGACGCCCAACGAGTCCTAACACACACACATGAACATACTTCAGATACGCTTCCCTGTAGACCTCATAGATCCCTGTTTGCACGTACCTTTCATCCCAGGTGATCAGGTCAGACAAGACAGATCCGGGGTCTCATTTATAACCATTGTGTCACACAAAACAGGCCCTGACAGAGCCGTGTTTTATACTATTTGATTTATATATTCAAAAACAAGGCAAGGATAGGCTAATAAATGCTTTTAAGCGATGTAATGTGACGCACATCAGTATCTCATATTCTCCTAATGTCTTGTACTGTTAAACATGGAATCACATGGATGAATATGATATGAAGGTGAGGAAATGCATAGTAAAACGAGGCGTTGTAAGCTCATATATTCGGGGAGGAGATGCATGTGAACACAATCTTCCTCTGACTGGGATTATAAAGGGGATTCTGCGCAGGTTCTGGCGTTTGCATGCTTTTATAAGTCTGAATCTTTTTTGGCGTACGCCATTTTTGGCTTTCGGGCGCACGTACACTTTTAGTAAGGATCCTATGCACAGTTTTATAAATGAGACCCCAGGTATTTACACGATTCTCAAATGCATTTACTTTTATTGAATTTTGTTGACCGAAGGGTCTCAGATTTCGTGCAATATACATCATAGTACTGTGAAACACGCCTAATAGTCATGTAGGTCCCCAGAAACCAAAGCATGAACTCCACAAGACCTCTGAACGTGTGGTTCAGGAACGGTTTGAGAAGCAAAACAGAGTTCAAGGTGTTGCCTTGGCCTCCAAATTCCCCAGATCTCAATCCAATTGAGCATCTATATTCCCCAGATCTCAATCCAATTGAGCATCTATATTCCCCAGATCTCAACCAAATTGAGCATATATATTCCCCAGATCTCAACCCAATTGAGCATCTATATTCCCCAGATCTCAACCCAATTGAGCATCTATATTCCCCAGATCTCAACCCAATTGAGCATCTATATTCCCCAGATCTCAACCCAATTGAGCATATATATTCCCCAGATCTCAACCCAATTGAGCATATATATTCCCCAGATCTCAACCCAATTGAGCATCTATATTCCCCAGATCTCAACCCAATTGAGCATATATATTCCCCAGATCTCAACCCAATTGAGCATTTATGGGAAGCGCTGGACCAACAAATATGATCCATGGAGGCCTGACCTCGCAACTTGCAGGACCTAAAGGACCTGCTGTCGAAAGTCTTGGTGCCACAAACCACAGGACTTCTGCAGTCCATGTCCCGATGCGGGACCAGAACCAGTTTAGGGTGGCGAGGGAGTGAATTCTGGACTCAAAATGAACTCCCAATGTTTCCATTGAAGTTTTTAACTTCAGGTGTGGTTTGAGTGATCCAGTCACACATGTCCTGGGCCCTATTTAAACGTGTGAATGGATTACATACCAGGGCCCAGTTGTTCAAAAAGATTAATCTGGATCAGAATGATCTGGATTTGAAAATTCCACGTTTTGCTATCCAGGATCAGGTAATCCATTTGATATTTGTGCCGGTTCTTCAAAGCAATATTGGATTGGATCACCCTGATCCAGAAACACTTTTTATTAGATGACCAAACCATGCTCTACCGAGGCCTAAAGGCACATGGTGATACGACAAAATATGAGATGGGGGGTAAAAAATATAATTTTAATGCTTTTGCGTTCACCCGAGAAACTTTGCGTTCGCTCACAAATAACTTTTGACTTATGATTGTGTCTATCTTATGATTGTGCCAATGTACAGACATTGATTAAAAAAAACACTTTTAAAATTAGACACATTTTTGTTTGATATCTACAGCTGTTTGGGGATTATTTAATGGCTTGAACCGCTTGCGGGAAAGTTATGAAATTTGGCACAAGGATAGAGAATAGTCTGACCTGGCTCCACAGCAAATTTGGAGTCTCTAACTCATTCCCTCTAGCGCCACCAACTGTCCAAATTAGAACCATAAGGGCTAGAAACAAACCTTTTCCTGATTCTTGGCTCAAGACGATTCTATCGCATTCCTTTGCCTATGATGTCATTTTCAGTCATGAAAATTCTTCCGCCATTTTGAATTTTCCTGGAAAACCTACTTTTTCTAACTCTTCCTAGACCGTTGCTCTGATTTTCACAAAAATTTAACCAGATCATCTTCAGACCATGCCGACAAAAAGTTATGGAATTCAAGTTGATTCGAATTGAAGAGGAGATATGAAAAATGGACAGTTTTGCTCATAACTTAGTAGTGGTTTGGCCAAAAAAATCACAAAATTTGTCTCTTTAAGATTGCAGAATTTTGGGCGTCAGCCATTTTGAATTTTGTCTTAAAATGCTATATTTTACGAAAGCATTGGCGTATCATAACGAAACTCTATATGTGTCTTAAGCACCATGCCCTGAAGGTACACAAAAGGTTTGGGGACAGCGCCACCCTGTGATCATAAGTTATAATGAAATTTCCAAAAAGGCTAATAGCTTTTGATTGAATTATGCTATGAATTATGCTTAATCGATTCCTTGGGTCATGCTGAGAACAGAAATACCAATTTTGCCACAGTCTGCCAAACTTTCTGTCCACCATTTTATTTTTATTTTTTAAAAATACTTTTTCGAACTCCTAGACTGTTGGTCCAAATTTCACCAAAATTGAATCGTATCATCTTCAGACCATGTTGGCGAACATTTATGGATTTCGAGTGGATAGACGAAACGGTTTTCGAACATCGCATCGACACATTTAATGGCATGATGCCAAACCGACTGAGGCTTTATCTCTGCAATGCTTTGGCATATCGACACCAAACTTTGCTTGTGTCATTGTCACTTCACTCTGAACACACCACATCTGTTTGGTCACAGCGCCACCTATTGGTCGAAAGTGAGAAACCCTTAAATCATTACTAGTGACTGTATTGATGATTTTTCAGCCATTTTCCCTAAAATCATCTTTAAATGCTCGTTGTTGCAGCTTCTCTGATGCTCCAGCCATGCAGTCATGACTTATTTTTTGGATCAAAGGTATCCCAATCTGATCAACACAAACTGATGATTTGATCCATATCAAAGCCAAGATTGGATTTTGTGATCTAATCTGATTTCAATCAAAATCCTATCGGATTCCTTTTGAGCAACTGGGCCCAGGTGTAAGTGAAGCCTTAGACACACTTACATGTCATTCAGTCTATTTAAAAAGTTGTTGCATTGTTCATAGTTCAATGTAAGATATATTCTCACATTTCTATCTGTGCTCGGATATACACTTAAAATGGCAGAACCGTGATTGTGCCTTGCCTCAGACTAGGATAGGCTAAAACAGGTGTCATGAACACCGGAGCTTCGGTTAGTTTCAGTCTAGAGGATTTACCATTTATATGTGGAATGAGATCATTTAGATCTTGCATCTACTCACATCGATCTATGAGATCAACTCAACATTTCATCTGTTTATGACTTGATGCAATTAATGCATTTTATAAACTTATGTATACTGTATAAACTGTACAAAAAGAGAAAAGCAACAATAAAGTACAAAACAACTGTTTTTAATGTCCCATGTGCAATCCTTGATTTAAAAACAGACTGCATGTACTAAACTAATCCTACATCTAATCCAGAATTAATCCTACATCTAAATGTAACCTAATTTTAACACTATGGACTGCAAGTTTTAGGATTTAAGATATCTGCTCATAACAAACATAATTACAAACACAATTAAACAATGCTGGCAGTCAAAACTATATATACAGTGGGTTTGCTTGGTAAATAAAAAATAGTTTGTGCTATTTCTAATCTTTCTTTCAAAATATTCACAAAAATCCAACTTTTAATTGAAGTTTATGTACTCAAAAATATATAAATGTGGAATAAATATGGTTTTCTTCAAAAACGTGTGCCAAAATTATTGGCACCCCTTCAAATTCTAGAGTAAAAGTGTACCTGAAGCGTGTTCCCATTCATGTGGTGTTTAAGTTCACCGTAGTGATCAGGAAGTGATGTCATGACTTCCAATATTTGTGGAGCCCACTGTATATATATATATAATGTATTACTGATTTTTCATGCAAATGGATGCAAATAAGTATACTTTAGTGTACCATACTTGTGTGTACATTCATAAGTACATTTTAGCTATATTTCAAAGACAGCAGAATTATGAAATTATATATAAGTTAAGGCTGGGCAAACCTGGCCCTGGAGATCCACTGTCCTGCAGATGTTCTCCAATCCTGATCAACTAATCGCCGTGTCTGAACTCCTAAAGCTCTACTTGTGTGGGTCAAAAAAGCACTCAAGTCTTATTTTAATTAATTGCATTTAAAATAAATCAAACTTTAATACATTTTCAATTGTAAATACATTTACAAAACATCACTGTCATGATTCACGTCTGTGTTGCCCTGTCGATTGGAGAGTTGCTGATTCATTGGTTGATCGGGGGAAGCTGCTTCTCAATGAACTGCTTGATGTCCATCATCTCCTGTTGTGAGAGACAGAGAGAATCAGTTGAAAAAGTGTCATGTTAAAATGGACCCTTTCCACAAACACATCAACTGCAAATCTAGTAGTTCCCTTTCGAGGGAACTCGCGATGCGTCACTTGACGCTTTGGGAACGCCCCCAGCGTGAATGCGTCTGAGCATCAATGTCAACTAGTCCAATGGAAAGAATGAGCGTCACGGGCGGGTGACGTCATGACCAGGAAGGCATAAGAGCACATCCGGTGAAACGCGGCATTAGCAAGCGATCTGTGTTACTCTGTCTCTGTCTATTTATTGTTGTCTGTTCGATATTATTGGGAAGAGTTATGGCGAAACAACTTTACAAACTCTGTGCTTCTCCCTGCCCGCGTTATTTAACGGGTGGGGACACACACGAGCTTTGTGTAGTTTGTTTGGGAGTGGAGCATGCGGTATCAGCCTCCGAGGGGGCTGAGTGCAACATTGTGAGAAGCTTTCGCTTCGCATGCTCCACTCCCGCCTGTCACTTTTCGAGGAAAGTGGCCAGGCTCGCGATCCTCGGGGTGCAGGACACGCGTCTGCCGAGGCAGCGCGGAGAATGCATTCCTGTGGATCGCGAATAGGATCTCGTTACGGGGTTGGAGACGGGTCCGCGGATCTTATCTCCTCCCTTTCCACGAGGGATCCAGTGCTCTCTCTCCGGTCTCGGAAGCCCGCGCTGCGGTCTCTTCCGCCCGGGGAGAGAAATCAATGCTTCAGTGCTCTACCTCCGAGGAGGTAGATGTGCTGGGCATTGAAAGTGTACACAATCATGGGGGAAGTGGATTTGCCATCTCTTCCCCAGCGTATGAGAATTATATATAGCCTATATATATATATATATATATATGATAGTTTATATATTATATATAAAATAAAGTGTATATATATAAAGAATGTATATAAAAAAATATATATATAATAATAAGCTGGTGGAGGTGTTTACTAAGGCTGTAGATAAATTAAATATTTAATGGCCAGCAGAAATAAGGGGGCACTCGTCCTTAAAATAAATTGAACGAGTTTCCTTCCCTCTATTTTTCCACCTCCATCACGGGGCCTTCCATTTTTCCCGATCTGCACAGCGAGCTGTCTAGATCATGGAAAAAGCCTTACTCATTTATTAGCCCCACATTCATGTATATTCAGATATTTGGGGGTTAAGAGAGTATGGCTATGGGGCAATACCCCGGGTAGAACAGACACTTGCGAGCTATGTCTCCCGGTTCAGTATCGTCCCTGAAGGCGTCGGCTTCTCTCACTAAACCATTAAAGAAAACTATTTTTTAATCTAGTGGGAAAAGCATATATGGCAGTGGGTCTAGCACGAGCCTGCTTGCACACTATAGCAGTGCTGCAAGCATATCAGGCTGACCTGCTGTGGTATTTGGACAGAAGTGAGGGAGTTTGGCCCGATGGGGTTTGAGAACTCCGTCGGGCCTCAGATTTATCTCTCAGGGATGGCAGCCAAAGAAATGTGGTCACTGAGAGACACCTCTGGCTCAATTTGATGGGAATCATGGAGAAAGATACAAGATAATCTCTCCCTCGCTATGTCCAACCCACTGGGGCTGCTGGGCGTGAGCAGCTCCAGCCGGCTAGTTTCTCATACACAACACAGCAGCCAAAGCCTTCAAAGCAGAAGCCGGATCCGAGGACCGTTCTTCATGCTGAGAAGGCTGCGGCTCAAAAGAAAAGGTCTGGCGCCACGGCGTCAGACCGGTGAGGGCAGCCCCAACCGGGGTGGAATGGTGTACACCTCATTATACGGTGCCCTTTTTCATCTCTGTGCCCTCAGGGGACCGTTCTGCCAACCCCGCCACCCTTGGTGCTTCGGGGCGCAGCGTTCTCCAGCGAGCTTCTGGCGCAGCGTCAACTCGACATTGCGTCGGACTCGCGCCCTCTGAGGGGGGTTCGAAAACAGTCAGTTCGGGTGGTTCCTGCCAGTATGTTTCAGGTCCCCGAACTGGCTGTCTTTATTACACCAGAGGCCAGCCTCGAGGGGCTGGTTCCCTTGGTAGATTTTCTGGCAGCGCGGAAGCTACTGCCAAATATATCTCTATGGGTAATGGTAATCTCTCTGGTAATGGAGCAAGGGGTAAAGGCCCTGTTAGCAAAGAAAGCTATAGAGCAGGTGTACTCACCCGACATTGCGTCGGGTCTTTACAGTCGTTATCTCATTGTTCCAAAAAAGGATGGAGAGCAGCGTCACATACTAGATCTTCGTCTGTTGGAGTGTTTGGTGCTGGAACTCAAGTCCAAGATGCTGACACTCAAACAGATCGTGACTCAAATCAGATCCGAGGACTGGTTTGTCACGATAGATCTAAAAGACGTATACTTCCATATCTCCATCCTCCCTCAGCACAGGAGGTTCCTGAGGTTTTCTTTGGGGCAAAGAACACCAGTATCAGGCACTTCCTTTCGGTCTAGCTCTATCACCCTGCACATTCACGAAGTGTATAGACGCAGCTCTGGCCCCGCCAGGCTGCAGTGTATACGCATTCTGAATTGCATAGATGACTGGCTGATTCTAGCGGAATCAGAACAGTTAGCGGTTCGGCACCGAGGTGTCGTTCTCGCTCATATGCAGATGTTGGGGTTGAGGCTCAATGCCAAGAAGAGTGTGCTTTCTCCAGTACAGAGAACCACTTTCCTTGGTGTGGTATGGGATTCAGTGACGATGCGGGCCACTCTGTCGCCCGTTCGTGTAGCTGCTATCCTAACAGCCACAAAAGAGCTGAGGCTAGGCCAGTCACGCACTGTAAAACAGTTCGAGAGACTGTTGGGTCTTGTGGCAGTAGCGTCCAACGGGATACCTTTTGGCCTGCTGTACATGAGACCTTTGCAGTGGTGGCGCAGGACCAGAGGGTTCTCCCCGAGGCGGTGGAGCAAATATGGGAGTTTTATGGCCAGGCAGAAGTGGATTTGTTCTCGTCTCAGCATACGACGCACTGTCCACTCTGGTTATCCCTCACTCAACCAGTCCCCTCGGGGCTGGTTGCTATGGTGCAGACGTGGCTGAGGCTACGTCTGTACGCATTTCCCCCTGTTGCTCTGCTCCCAGGAGTTCTGGAGTGATTCCGCCAGGATGGAATAAGTCTATTTAGTAGCACCACCCTGGCCGAGCTGAATTTGGTTTGCGGACCTAATTTTTCTCCTCGACGGACCTCCCTTGGAGGTCCCGATCAGGAGAGACCTTCCGTCTCAGGCAGGGGATGCAATATTGCACCCCCGGCAGGGGATTTGGAAACTGTGGGTTTGGCCTCTGAGGGGGCCCAACTCATAGAGAGTGGTCTCTCAACCGAGGTTGTTGAGACCATTCTAAGCTCCAGAGCTCCCGCTACGAGGAAACTATATTCACTATTTCGAGAGTTTTTCACTTCTTGGTGTTACCAGCGTCAGTGGGATCCGGCTAACTGTTCAGTAAACACAGTATTCGAGTTTCTGCAAGAACGCTTTGTATCAGGTCTATGTCCTTCCACGCTTAAGGTATACGTGGCGGCCATTGCGGCTTTCCACGCCCTGGTGGGTAGTACATTTTTGGGTCGAGACCCCCTGATCACTCGTTTCCTTCGTGGCACTTTGAGGCTGAGGCCTGCAACTTGCACTAGGGTGCTGGCTTGGGACCTTGCAATAGTTCTAGAAGGCCTATCTGGGGCTCCCTTCGAGCCCTTAGATTTGGCCTCAGAGAAGTTCCTTTCTTTTAAGACTATTTTCTTCTAGCTATTTCGTCCCTATTAGAGTCAGACCTTCAGGCCCTTTCGGTCCCCACCTGCCTTGAGTGCACTGGGGATGGCCAAGGCATTCTTACCCGAAACATAGATATGTTCCAAAGGTGCCTACCATTATTCCGAGGCCTATTGTGCTGCAGGTTTCTGTCCTCCTTTTACATCTGCGAACCAGGAAAGGCTGAACCTCTTGTGTCCAGTGCGAGCACTGGATACTTATGTTCATCGGACATCTTCAATGAGGAAGTCCGACCAGTTATTTATTTGCTTTGGATCACCTAAGAAGGGTCTTCCTGCTTCTAAACAGACGGTTAGTAAGTGGATAGTCGAGGCTATTTCACTTGCATACGAGCACTCTGACCATCCGTGTCCCTTGGTGGTCAGAGCTCACTCAACGAGGGGTATGGCGGCCTCTAAAGCCTTGTTATTTGGGGTTTCTCTCCAAGACGTTTGTGATGCGGCAGGCTGGTCTTCACCGCTCACATTCGTCAGGTTTT